GGAATCAAGTCACAGACACTGGAGAAACCAAGCCCACTACATACATAAGGTTGGAGCAACACTCAAACAAGCATTACAATATGACATAAACAATGATAAAATTCTCAACTAACCTAAGTGATAACATCTGGAACTGTAGGCCACTCCACCTACTAAACTCCTGTATGTGCTTTAAGGTCGAGGAAAAACATTTAAATTGTCTGAATAATGATGTGATGAGAAATGGAGAAGGCACATCCAAGGCCACCAAGAAGAAGACATGGGTGTGGGTTTGTTGACGTCACTTGGGGTCAGACTGCGCTCGCTCGCTCTCTTGCTCCGAATCATATTTACGTAAACTGTGGTTTATGGCTGTAACATTCTTAATATATCGTTGAAGGAATTATATTGACTAAATATAGCACAGTAGTCTACTTTCTGATTCATGATTATACATGCAATCAACACTGAATTAGCTATAAAGAAAACATCAATGTATTCTATAAATAATTCATATTCACATTCTTATCACCATTATAATTACCAAAACTGTTAGTGCCTAGTACAGTCATCAAGTTATTTCTGCTGCATTGAATCATTTGTACAAATTTATTTATTAATTTAATGTTTATTACATTATGTTCATAATTTGGTTTTGCAATTGAAGTAATGCAAATCAAATAAATAAATCAACCTCTGGTCTCATTTACAAAATCAAATAGACTGTATGTAAGGCAACATCTTTCCTGACTGTACATACCTACCTACGTGAGCTTGGGGGAAAATGATGGATGCAGTGACAACATGCTCATTAGACAGAAAACGTAACATACTATTAATAACATCGGTACTAACATTTTATTTAAAATTGTTAAATCAATTATCAATTTAATGAAAGCCTTTTTAAGGGTGATTATAGTATTAGCTTCAGTACCAATGGGGAACCATTAAAATTGACATGGGCTACTACAGGGTACTAAATTAAAATAATACTACTTACTCCGTCTCTGAACACAACATAACATATTGATTTTCATCTGTGTATGCAGTATATAAGTTGCAATTAGGATACAATAATCATATTTTAAAAATTGATTTTTACTCTTTAAATGTTTCATATGATTTGATTATGATTATTTCCCAAAAAATTATTTTTATTAGAATATGATAATGGGGGTGCTGGTGGTAGAGTGGTACCGCTCTTGCCTTCGCAAGCAAGATGTCACGGGTTCGATTCCCGGGCCGGTGGAAGTTGTTTGGACATACTTGCTAGCCCCCATTAGTCACTGTTCACCGAGCAGTAAAGTAGGTACCTGGTGTAAATCGAAAGTTGCGAATTCGTATTCAGGGACAAATTGTTGGAGCTTCCAATAACTTGATGACATAAACCACTGACTCTTCAGGCTTCTACGCCCTTAACTCATGAGACATAAAGGCAAACATGAACTTAGCATGCTTCCCTGTTGGGCGCTGTAAACGCTTCTGCGCTTCACCTTACACAAGGATGTAGGGGAGTGCCCAATAAAAAAAAACTATAATAATATAATTTTCAGTAACAAATATTATGATTTGATTATGATTACATAATTATTGCCATGGAATATTATTATTTGATTAATAATCATGTCTGGTGCATATATGGTATAAACAACACGTGTTCATACTCAATGAAAACAAATACTAGTACTTACTTAAACCCGTGTAATATCTTTGAAACCATTTATATACGTTTGGAATTTGATATATTATATGTAAATCTATCCAATACATCACTGTTTGTGAGCTACCGAAAGCTAACAATGGCATAACAACGAAAAACATGCAGTCAATTATATTCATCATTTAACTATCCTGTACTCTAAATTAATGAATTCGGATCTATGGTTGTAGTGGATTTCTCCCCTACAAACGCTGTTTGTCGCTGAGTAGCCGACCCCGCGAATTCCACAGTATATGCCTCGTGGTCTAGGTCAACCAGCGCCGCCCACGGAGCGGGGGTCAACTATCTACCCACGCCTACCTCTGCTATAAAAGACCTGACCTCGTGGTGACCTCTCTCTTTTTCTAGCTACAGCCGCAGCCAGCAACACCACCACCTCCTCCACCGCTGCCTGGCGGCCCTCGCTCCCGCCGGCGAGCATGGCGACCCACAAGCTGTCCTCCTCTGAGCCCCCTCACCAACCAGCTCTCTCTACATCACGCTTGTAACCACGCTGCCACTTCCCAGCACCAAGCTGCATTGTACATCCAATACAACATGTATACAGAGAGCACATTGTGAGTTTCCTTTCTCCATCCCATCCTGGGTGTGAACCAAACATAACGTACCCCACATGATCATCTCTTCCCTTCCTACACAAGAAGATTGACACATCCAAGTCTTACCTTTGATGAAATCCAGTCCATAAAAAGGGAAATGAAAATAAAAGCAGACTGATTAGCTCCTCCACTCTCACGTGGTTAAGCGACTGGCGCTGTCGCCCTTCATTTACGACGTCATCATCAGATTTGAGAGGGAGACCCAGGCCTTCTCTTCTTGGTGGCCTTGGCACATCTCTCTCCAGATCATTGGTCAAGGCAAAATTAGGAGCGCCAGTCCAAGAATATAAAATGGCAACCCATCCGCTGTGGTGTGATGTGTTCTGGTTAAGTTGTCTCGGCTCTAAAAGATTTTCCCCTAGAGGGCAATCTTCACTCCCGATCTTCCTTTTTAGGCTAATCGTTTTGATGGTAAGGATGGATAATCATTAGCCCAGTCCCAATCATTAAATTCAAGGTTTTACCATCCTGATCCCACAACTTAAAAAGCTTTGTTATAAGAGCTGCCTAACAAAGGGCATTAAGCCATAAATGTACATCGATTGTTTCTCTTTGGTAAAATTGAGCAATGATAAACATTGTATTTCCATTTTGTAAGTGATATGTTTGGGGGGTTGGTCTTGTAGTCCCTCTGTTGAGTGTGGACTTTCTTAATCAATTGGCAGTCTCTGGCATATTTCAAGAGACCATGCAGAATTACAATACAGTAGCTAATGTTATTAATATTCACTTTTTCTTTCTTTTTTCATAATGATCCGAGAACCTCATTGCACTATCAATATAAACCTAGTCTTTTCACATATAGTTTCACTGAGAAGTAAATTTCCATGATGTTGGAACATATGTTACACTGTTAATACTACTATTACCTGTTGATTTATGATTAAATCCAGCATTTTGGGCATTTGATCACTACTACAATGGATTAAGTCTTAAGCCTGTTAGAACAGAAAGTTGTCTCTCAGTCTCTTTATGGAAATAATTTTATTTACATCTTCAGGCAATATCACCAGAATCAAAATTTGCTAAACATATACATTCTTAGCTGCTATTTTGTCATAAGAATACTATTTGTGATTCAAATTGGCAGAAATATACCTTACTTTAGGCCCTACTCAATTATGCCATTTTATGAGTCAAGAGATCAAGAAACTTTAAAATTTTGCATTTTTGGCAAATTAAAGTTCTTAACAAGTCATATGGAACTGAACGAGGAGACATGTTGCATCTGCTTGTGAATGTTGGCTTCTTTAACCCTTAAATGGCGAGTGAGGATTCCCTAATTAGCCCCAATATGCATAAAAACTGAAAGGCAAGGAACATTAAACATTCATTGATGTTGGCCACCATCCCTATAGCTAACATCAATTGACGTTTGCTGCTTTTCAAGGTTTACTTCTTAGTACTGTACCAGAAGTAACTACACCGACAGAAGGCTACACTTCATAAGAATTAAAAGCAAAACCTAATGTTATACATGTACTCTTTACAATACGATACTGAATAGACAGTATATTTAAGAAAAGGAAAGGATGGAATAGAGGCAAAGGACCAGAGTAAATGTGGTGAAAACATCAGTACTTTATTGACTAGTGGTGTGGGTGAGGGACCCCAAGTGGAAAGTGGAAAATGGACATGTGCATTCTACAAGAAAGGTGTTGGCAGTAACTAAATAATGTGCAACAAGTGTGGAAGGTGGGTACACAATAGGTGCAGTGGAGTAGATGGCAGACTCTGGGATGTTGCTGAATAAGTGAGCTGTAGGTGCAGGTAACCATGTATTCACAGCAAGTCTAGAGAAACTCAACATTGGGGATGTGTCCCCGGACTGTGTCGATGAGTTCTGTTTCCTGGGTGACATGATCAGTGCCAGTGGGGGTACTGAAACTTCCTATTTGCAAGAGTCAGAAGTGGCTGGGGGAAAGTTAGGAAGCTGCTGCCTTTATTGATGGCAAGAGGACCTTCCCTCCACATTAAAGGAATATACTGTATACAGATGATGTGAGAAGTGTGATGTTATATGGCAGGGGAATATGGACATTTAAAGAGGATGACAAAAGGAGACTTGAACAAGCTGAAATTAAAATGGTGAGGTGGATGTGTAATGCGACACTGAAAGGCAAGAGGCCATTCCGAGCCAAGAGGGCAGCTGGGTATTGAGAGTAGAGTATTGGCAATGGCAGAGTCCTGCATTGAGACAGGCTGAGGTGGTTTGGGCATGTGGAGAGAATGGATGAAGCCAATTGGGTGCATGAACCTAATTGTAGAGGAGAGGAGAACCAGGGGTAGTCCAAAAATGACATGGGGAGGACCTGCACCATGGAGAGCTGCCATCAGGTAACTACTCTTAACCCATGCAAGCATAGAAAATGGCTGTAAAATGATGCTAATGATGATTAATATACAGTACAGTATATGACTGCAGCTGTCATTCAGTGCAGTAGAACTCTCCTAGAAGCTTAGCTATACAGTAACTAGTTACTAACAATTAGTAAATCTCAGTTACATTGCTAAACTTTATGTCTTGCTGCTGGCCGACTTATTTGTCATGTTTCACTATACCTGTACAAGGGAGACAGCTTGGCCTGGTAGCGAGAATAATTTAGTTAAGCCCAAATCCTCTCCTTGTGATAGTATTCTACATAATTTTCTATATACATACCGACACCTCCCTGTTTTGCTAGGAATATCAAACAAAACTGTGGGTTTAATATTTCTTTTGCAGGTACTTGACAGGCAAATATGTTTGTTTCCTTTACAACTATACACAAAAGCAACCAAGCAAGAAGCTCAGCACTTGGAATACAAGAGCACAGGTATCAGGTACTCTGATTCACTAGGACTTCTCCTGTTTCAGTCATTAAGTGAAAAACAGTATTTTTGAGAAGAACTGTGGAAGGAGGAAGAAAAAAAAATGATTCTGGCCTATTCTGACCATGCTCAACATAAATAAAGTTTGGAATTATGAATGACTATTTCTTACTAACAAACAGTAGATGTCATAATTAAGATACTGGGAATATCCATCATATATTTTTGGGTAAAAATCTCCCATTCTTCTTTAATAAATGGGCATAACAATGCTCATATTATTAACATGATATTTATATCACCATAACATTGTGACTAAATCAGTAATATTGAGCCTATTATACATTTACAAGACCCTTCTTTCTATATCAACACAGCCATTTTGCTCATTATTACTGAAGAACAAGTGTAATCGTCATAAGTGATATTTACATATGACAAGGTATATAACCGTCAATTTATTAAATCATTTCCACTTCAACACCTAAATGAACAAGTCTTGACTGATGATGGATGCATAAAAAAATATTAGATATATATACATTTCATAGCCAGTTAGCAATTCAATGCAAAAAGGCCATATGTCATTTAGGTATACAGAATTGAAATGGAAATAAAATATTATTGACTAGATATATTTACAATTTTGTGCAAATTCAAGTTGTTTAAAACTTGAGCTATTCAACAGAATAAAAATATAAATAAATACATAAAAACCAGGATATTTCAATGACATACATCTTTAACGAAAGTTAAAAGTTTAATGTTTTTGTATTCTTCACATTTGTACACGACTATTTTCTAAAAAGTAAAAAAAAAAATAATAATAATAATAATAATAATAATAATAATGAAAATAATAATAATAAATATAAATAAATGGATTTTGATGCATATTTATTAAAATATGTCACTTGACTAAATGTGATGAAATAAGGCCTTATTTAATCAGCAGTTTCAATAGCAGTGTTAGTTAACAGGCAGAGCTGTTGGAATATTGTAACTTGCTCTGCCAGGGACAAATATGATATAACATTTTGATAAGACAAGAGACCTTCCCCATCTCCTTTTTCTTGTTCACTGAGTTCTGATGTCATCAACCTGAGGCGTAAAACATCAAACAACTTGGTCCACTCTGCTTCATCCGCTGGCAGAACATATTCTTCTGTATCTTCCTCTTTCTGAGTAGATTCTCCTTGGGAGACACTCATCATCCTATCTTGAACTACATATGTTCCAGGCTCCCCACTCTCAACCAACACTGCTGACTGACTATCACTGTCTACAAACATTGTGGAAGTTTCCAAAGCTGCTTCATCACCTTCCATAAGGACAGCAGATGTCTCATGTTGTCTTGTAGCTTGACGGACAGTGGATGTTGCTCCAGTAGCTCCACTGGTTGAAACTACTAATGATGTTCCATCAACCTCCCCTTCTAACTGTGTTTGACAAAACTCTTTCATATACTGATCTACAGTCAGGGCAGCACCTTCCTCAAGTTTCAGTGTCCCTCCTGTTACAACATGTTGACCAGAAACTCCAGTGTTCCCTCCTGCTGCAACTAATAATTCTTCTAGTCCCTCATCACTATTATTTCCTTTGGTTTTGCTAAGAGCCCCTCGTGACAGCTGTGAGCCAATTTGTTTGAGCCTCTTGCGGTTACCATTTCTTGATAAGTAATTTGATTTGTCTCTCGCATGCCTCTCCATGATGCGATTCATAAGGTCCTGTGGATGGTCCACCTCATTGTGAGTGTGCTGAGGGTAGTATACCATTTGTGTTTCTCCATCATAGTCCTGAGTTGCAGGATTATATTGCACTTTTAGGTGAATACGAGCATGGCAGTTGCTTGACCTTTGTATCCTAACAAACCATCTTCGTTTTTGTTTACTGGGGGAGTCACCTTCAGTTTCACCTTCTTTCTTCTCTTTTGACTGATCAATCTGTAAAATCAGATTATCACTTTTTAACTAAATACATATAAAATTTATAAATATTTCTTGCATGTAAACATTTTCTTGCTGAATTATGAAGGGGCTAGGTTACATTTGGTTAAAATTTTATCTCTAGTAATTCATTCTGCTCTTAAAAAAAAGAAAAAAAAAAGAAAAATATGAAATCTCAATTTAAAATCAATGGGAATTGAAGTGTAGCTTGTGATATGTCTACTACAGCGCCCCCAAATCAACCTACCCTTGCATGGAGCTCAACATTTTCTAGAAGCAGATTATACAATTTTGCAAGCATTTTGAGTTACAGTAAAAACCCCATAATTCATACTCCTCTAATTTGAAATCACTCGTAAGAACATAAGAATGGAAGAAACTGCAGCAGGACTATTGGCCCATACTGAGCAGTCCCGTTCACACCTAACCCCTATCGCTCTTACAGTATATCCATCCAACCTATATTTGAAGCTATCCAGCGTATTCAAGTTAATGATGATGTTTGCTAACTTGCTCCATTCATCCACTACTCTATTTCCAAAACAATTTTTACCTATCTTGCACCTAAATCTAAATTTGTCTAATTTAAAACCATTGCTACAAGTTCGTTCCTGGTTGGAAAGATTGAGTACCTTTGTTATATCACCTTTGTTTAACCCTGACTTCCATTTATACACCTCAATCATATCACCCCTCATTCTACGTCTCTCTCTCGAGTGCAAATTAAGATGCTTTCACCTGTCTCTGTACTCAAGGTTCCTAATGCCCAGGATTAGTCTGTCATTCTCCTCTGAATTCTTCTAAGGTTTCTATATCCATTCTGTAGTAAGGTGAGCATAACTAAACCGCGTTATCCAAGTGAGGTCTCACAAGAGCAAGATATGGTTTTAGGATAACCTCGCTAGTCTTGTAACTAACACTCCTTTGTATGAACCCAAGTACTTTGTTAGACTTCTTTCGAGCAAATACACATAGTTGTCTTGGTTAAGATTCCTAGTCTTTCTCACAGTCGGATTTCTCTATAACAACATTGTCCATCTGATATCTGGTTTCTCTGTTTACATCTCCTAAACTAAGTACTTTACATTTGTCCACATTAAATTTCATCTGCCATTTTTCAGACCATGCAAAATTTTTTTTTAGACCTTCCTGTAGTTTTGCCGAGTCCTTGTCAGATTTAATTACACGCCCTATTTTAGTGTCGTCAGCAAATTTGCTTATGTTACTGCCTATGTCGTTATGTATATAATAAATAGTAATGGTCCAAGTACCGAGCCTTGAGGTACTCCACTAGTAACGTTACCCTAATTGGATTTAGTGCTGTTAATGCTTACTCGCTGTTTCTTGTCTAGTTACCACACCCTAATCCATTTTAGAAAATCTCCTCCAATTACATGAGCCTCCACTTTTCGTATTAGTCTTTCGTAGGGGACTCTGTCGAAGGCTTTGCTAAAGTCGAGGTTTACCACATCATAATCGTGTCTGTCATCCATTGATTCGAAAACAATTGAAAAGAATGATGATAGATTTGTCAGACATGCACGCCCATTTGGGAAGCCATGTTGGGAGTCATTGATCAATTTGTGCTTCTCCAGGTGATTTTGAATAGTATGAAAATATTGCTTCCAACAATTTGCCTTCAATTGATGTTAAACTGATTGGACGGTAGTTAGAGGATAGTGATCTATCTCCCTTCTTGAAAATCGGTTTGCTATCCTCCAGGATTCTGGTACTACTCCCATTTTTAATGACATGTTAAACAAATTTGCAAAGGGCATACTAAGTTCTTTCTTACTTTCTTTTAATACTTTGGTACATATCTCATTGGGACCTGGTGACTTATGAAGCTTTAATTTGTCTATTTGTTTATTAACATCATTCCTAGTCACAACTAACTCGCTTGATCTATTTTCTTTACTACCTCTGTATATAGTCGGTGCCTCAGGTATCATGTTTAAATTTTCTGTGGAGAAAACTTGAAAAATATCTGTTCAGATTATTGCTCATTTCTCCGTCGTTATCCATTAGCTCGCCAGTATCTGACTAAATTGGTCCAATCTTATCTTGTGTTTTAGTTTGAACTTCTCAAGGAGCTCCTCACTCCTACACCAGCCAATATCTATGCCTCATGCACTGAGGCAGATAATGGGGTTTACTGTTACAAAATATGTTACAAATTTCGTAATAATTGGAAAATTTTCAAAATACTGTACGAAACATTTTGAAATATTACGAAATATATGTTACAATTTTCGTAATAGTTGGTATGATTTTGAATTATGAGAGACATTTACGAATATGTATGATGCACATGTCGCCATTGGATACATCCGTCTGCCTCACTGTAGACAACTATGTATACGTATGTCGGTCAGTTCACGTTAGTCATTCAAGGAGTGCACGTCTACGGTCTACCACATAAGCTTCTTCCACTTGTTTTTCCACCATTGCCCAGTGTTTGAGCCATTATGTCTGATAACCCTAAATCTGGTACTGTACTTAGAAATGTTTAAATTTTGATTGGGGCAGATAACGGAGAGGTACCGCTGTTTTGTTGGTTTTCCCTCAGGAGATGATGTTCCTCATAATTCAAAAGGGGTAGAGATCCTATTATTTCAATTTATAGGGGTTTTACTGTACAGTATAGCAATGACTTCCAGCATTCTCTAACAGTAAGCCAGGTGTACATGTATACAGGTAGTCCCCGACTTACGACCGACTCGACTTGCGTCCACCCGCACTTACGACCGCCTCAGTCGTACCAAAATGTGGTCAAATTATGTATTTTTGAGTCCCAAAGTCAGTACACAGACAAAATTTTCATCTGTAAATCATTTTAAAATGGCTGCCAAGCTTAAAAGTGGGTGTTTTGTGGTGCTGAGAAGAAAAAGAGACCCAAATTTTCTATTTTCTATGTGTTATTTAAGCATTTCCGACTTACGACCATTTCGACTTACGACCTGGATGTCGGTCCCTAACCCCGTCGTAAGTCGGGGAGTACCTGTATACTGTATGTATATTCTCCTTATTTGTTATTTATATTAATTATCCATACTTTGTATCCTTGTATTGTCCAACCCTGGCAAACTACTGCACAACCTAAACAACCGGAAGAGTAATAAACAATATTAACATAGTCTTACCAGTCAATGCATTGAGCACAATATCTGTCTACTGCTCTTACCTCTGTACTGATAACCCTTCAGCAAACTGCAGTGTCTCTTATTACTCATCAACTCCTACCCTATGGATTGATGCACAGTTCTAGCTAGAAGCATCTAGTCTCAAAAAAAGTAAAGACATAGAGCTGAGAATGAATTAAGTACAAAAGTGCTTCAACAGAAATATACAGTAGACGGAAGATGATTCCAATAAAGAGTAATTTAAACTTGTTAATATAAGTACAGTAAACAATACTAACTTTAGCTGTGTGGAATCTATGACACACCATCTGGATGAGCTTCATATCATTTTTCTCAATGCGAGTTGTGTCTCTTATGTAGCGGACATTATACTTCTTCTCTTCCCCCGTCAGCCATTGGTAGAAAAGGTCTAGGTTTTTAAAAGTTTTGAATTCTCTTGGCACAATAATATTGTGAACTTCTTCCATGTGCTTAAAAAGAAGTTTTACCTGTACAAAATAAAATATAAAATAACTATGAGCAACGAGTCTTCAAAATATATCTCTGTAAATGGAGATTATATAAACAAACTGATCTCAACCTTGGAGAACTTCCTTGGCACTACTCAAGTCTTATTACCTCACCATCTCTCTTTCATGAATAAGAATTATCCAAAAAGGAAAAATGCTGGCCTTGGAGATCAAGGTTGCCATATTCTAGCCCTAGTCAGGACAGTGTCTATATAATGAACATTACCACACAGCCCTCATTCAACCTTGGTGTAAATTGAAAATGAATATCAGTATTCCAGTAGGGTACCTGTAGGCCCGGCGAGTTACAACTTACAAAGGTTTCATATCTACAAGACATATGGATGTCATTCATTGAGTTTCTTCAAGTCAGATGACTACAGTGGTCCATCGATTAATGAACACAGAGGTTCCACAGAGGTGGTTTGTTAACCGAAAATTTTGTGAATTGAATCAATTATTTCAATGGGATATTGGGCAATTGGTTCCAACTCAAAGAAAAAGTATACATACGAAGTACTGTATACCGGTAATAAAAAAACATTGGAATACTGTATTTTAACTTACTTTGAAGTGTGTATGTCATTTTCCCGGCAGCTTTGTTTGCATATCAAACAGCTGATTGTAGAGGCAGTCGATGATGACATGCCATATTCTTTACAGAGTGCATTGGTTCTAATGCCTTCTTCATGTTTCATAATAATTTCTGCACTGTATATTATCAATATGTTAACAATTTCAGAATGAACAATAATTTAAATCTAAAAATGCAAAAATATTCAAGAGACCAACAAACTCGATGTTCACTCCACTGTAAACAAAGTTAAACTGAGAAGCGTTGGTGGGTGATTCGATCAACTCAAGGGCACACAACAATTGTTCCCTGTACTGTATATATTATCAATATGTTAACTAAATTTCAGAATGACCAATAACTTTAATATAAAAAATGCAAAAATATTCAAGAGCACAACTTTCTTGATATTTACCGCACTGGAAACGAATGTAAACATAGAACCAATTACTGTATTGGCGGACTAGCCAATCAGCTGATGCGCACAACAAAACGTGTTTCTCGCAAGGCTGTCGTTAATGGAACTGAAAATCCTTATGGGAGCTAATTCGTTAACCGAAATTTCTCTAATTGAATCGTTTGTTAATCGAGGGACCACTCACTTAGATTTTTCTACATCCACATTAATAACACTTAATACATTTCCTCAACTCCATATTTGATTTTCCTGGATTCATCCATTTAGATTACAGCATTCCTTTATTTTCTTAATCATAACCTAAGATCATCTGGAAAATTCTCCGAACATTCCACTTTAAGAATTGGTGAATGGTTACTATGTCTGACATGTCCACCCTATTTTTAAATTCTTCCTTATTGCCAACTTATTTATATATACTGTAGTCTCAAATTCTCTGATTTCACTGAAAATTTCTAGTACATCTTCATACAAGCTAATATCACATCATGATTACCCCTTTCTTTTAAAAATACAGAAACTGACTACCTTACATTCAATATCAAAATCCTCCTACTGTACAGTACTTCACCAAAATATTTAACAGTTCTACAAACCCAAACATCTGCACCTACATCCAGTTGGGTATCTAAATCTAAGGAGGTAAATTTTGAAACATATGATTCCAAAACCATTGAAAGACTCAATTAATACATATGAATCATCCGTATATATTACCATCTAATACAACACCATGATCCAGATTAACAATAACCTTGAAATTTAATCCTCATCATTATCCTTTGCCACATTTTCCTGGGTGTGCCTTGATTGGAATCAAATACATCTGCCTCTTAAATTAAAAATTCTCACATTCATTACTTCATCCTTCCCATCTTCTTTCACCACTTCTAAATACTAACACATCTACTGAAGGAAGGTCTACATTTTGTCTTCCATATATTTTAGCCACACAATCTATAAACAAAATACCAATATGTTATGGACAAAATATCAGTATGTACTCATAGTTTGAACTTTGAAGCAATACTTGAAGAAATTCTAATTTGTACATTTACACTTACCTTGATATTTGATTGAATCAGACCAAAATTTACTGGTGCCTAGTAATCAACTAGCCCAATTAACAATTAAAATGGCATAGACAGTTTCATTATTATGGATTAATGGGTACCAACAGACAAACAAAATCAGTGATAAACAGAGCCAAGCAAGAGATAAACTGTACATTTGTTAGGTAATGAGTATAATATATAAATAAACAATGAAAATGTTTTAGTTACACAGACCTGGTAAAATGAGAGATGACTACAACCTGGTTCTTGGCACTTGAAATTACCTCCCCTCGAGACAGTAGGCTTGTTACCCTGGCTCACCTCTGTACAAACCTCACGGACATGACGAAGAAAATCAAAATGCTTGGAAAATACTTGTTGACATTCCTGTGAATAAGGAGGAACAGAATATAAATTTTCTGAACTTTTGTCACCCCTCATTTCCACAATACAATATATATTTAAAACTCCCTCCTCCAGTGCTCACAAAACCATTACTCCAGTCACTGTGGCCACAAAATCGTGGGCGATCGAAACCGGTAGTGTGGGTCTTGTAGTTGAACCCAAGTGCTGCAACTGCCCTGTCACCATAATACACTCATGGTACTGACCTAAATGCCCATCTGTCCTTGATGAAAGACACTCTTACCAAACCACAACCTCACTCACTGCCTCCCACCAGGCCATCCCACTCAGCTGACCTCACCGCTCTCCCTGGCTACTGCCTTGGCATCTGCTGTCAACCCAGCCTCGACACAACCAGCTGCCAACCATCGAATCTTGATATTTCCTCAATTCTACTTTGACACTGCCAAGGCTTCTGAATACATCCGTGGTCCTAAACTCTACTCCAACAAGTCAAGTGTCCCATATCTTCTTCACAAACTCGAGCAATGCATAGAGGAGTCGTCAATTTGCACAGCTCCTTGTAGGCGACCTTCGTCACCATTCACTCACTCCCCTCCCATGGTTCATCTCAAGCTTACACTCCTGTGAACCATGCCTCCCCACTGCTGATCAATATTGAAGACACAGCCCCCTCTGGGTCTGTCCCAGCAGACCCTGCTTACTCTGTGCCTTCACACTTGCCACATGCCTAATTTGTCCACTCGTCGCCAACCATGCCTGTTCCAGCCCCTAAAGTAGTACCTTCTAATGGACCCGGGGATCCCATCCCGCCCGTCATGTACAGCTCCAGCACCCTGCCCCCTGGAACCTCCACTGATACTCCTGGTGCCTATTCATCAAAAATACATTGAAAGACATGTCCTTTAATAATTGTAAATGTTTTTGTGCCTCTCAACACGCCCATGCTCTCATGCCACATCCCTTCCTAACTAAATATCCCTCCTCCTAGTACAGGTAACAGTCTCGGCACTTGACATTATTAGGTTACTACCATGCTTTGCCATATACAGTCGAACTGTACAGGGAATCCCTACACTTATTCTATTTCACTACATATAACTTACTAACAAAACCAATGGCCCCTTAGACATCCTTGCCCACCCATCATCAAAGTCTAAGGAGGCAAGCATGACCTCTGCATGCTTCCCTGTTAGGTACTGTAATGCTTTTGTGTATTGCCTTACACAGGATTAAGGAGATGCCCTATAAACTAGCCCCTGCACTGGGTGGGTGTGGCAAATCTGAAATATAAAAACCTTTCCCATTTTATTGCAGTGTGGCTAAACCAAAAGAAAATGCAAACTCTGTCTTTATTTGCTGCCATACACACATTCTAACTGCAGTAACATCCCTATAATCTACTCTTTGCCATGCTCTCCTGCAATGTTCACATAGTACTTCACTACTACCTGGATGTCCATCCCCCTCACTTCTAGTGTCTTTCACATCATCCCACCTCCTTGTTCTTCCTATCATCTATATCTGTATTAAACACTTTTTAACAATCTTTCTTTTCCCATTCACTGGTTACCTCTGTCTTAACATTTCTGATTCTCACATCTCCTAATTTATTCCAATTTTCATTCTTTACTCTGCATCCTTTTCACCACATATTGCTCTTAACCACCATCTTGTACTCAGAGCCCAAGAAGCACCCCCATAATAATGTCAGGTCAAAGATTCCCCAATACATCCCAATCTTTAACTCCCTGGAAATGGTGCTTTCTCTCACATCTTATACTATTATTCTTATATTTACATTTCTGTTTGCGTTATACATGAAAATACTGGACAATCTTGGTCACATTACACATTCTTAATTTAGTCCTTCTTCCACTGGGAACCAGTTTCTATCTTTCTCTGTGAGAAAAAAATTGGATGGATGACAACTGAAAACTCACCACAGCAGTAACAATAAAAGTAAAAGAGCTATGCACGAATTTTACATTTACCTGAAATAGCAAATGCTTGTACAACTTTAAACTGGGACCATTTTAGAAACATTAGTGTTGTCCAAAATTTCAGAAAAATTCCCCTACTATAGTTGGCTTAAAATTAGAAATATGAAAACTTTAGGATGGACAGATGGCTAACAATAGAAAAAACTAATCTAGAAAAAAATAAAACTACTGTACTAGTAGTCCTGGGGGATCTCCAGCATTAATGTGATGTAAAGAATAACTTGTCTTTAGCTTGTCTACCACAGTAATATTCTAATTAAAAAGAAAAAAACTTTCAGATGTGGAGGTTTGGGCTTGGATTACCCCTGTGAAAAGGTGAAACTGTAGCAAGACTGAAAAGTACTGGTAGTTTACTTTTCAATTAGACAAGCTTACCTTACATTGCCAACTTTGTCTAGGTTTTTTGCGAATAAGGACGGTTTTCTCTGGGACACTGGCATCCATTCGACCATCAGCAAGCTGTAACAGACCTTTGGTATCCTTAACTCTAATATCCACATCTATACCCAAGTCCAGAAGGCAGCCATCTTCATCAGTTTCTACACCATGCCAATCAATGTAGTGCTCAACCTGTAAGTAAAAGCTCGAGATGTTTCTTTCATATTGTATCGTCATAAAAATAAAACTTGATTCACCCACTTTATACTTCTGAATGCAAGCATGCAGGGAAAACACACACACACAGACATTGATTTAACAGAAATGCATATTAAAGTGTACTGACTGTGTTTCAGAAAGAACTGGAAAGTAAAACATTTAAAAAAAGCAACAAAGCTAAATAAACTGAAACCAGCATTTTTAAATATTATGAATGAATCGAATTCCTTAATGACATAAGGTTTCTTTAAAGAAAATATAAATCATATTATTGCAGGTAAAACTTTTTTTTAATCCTACACACATGGTTTTTTTATTCATTTACAAAAAAAAATCATCCACATCATCCCATTTTTTCTGAACCAACTTACTCTGCCACTCTCTGTTTTTGAGATACTGAACTGCACTGTACTGTAATTCTATAAAATCTACCATACATTTTGTCTTGTATACTTAATATTAGTTTTACAATCATTTCTTATCACCTTTCATTTATAAAGGAGACCTAAACATATTCTCTGCCATTTCTTGGTAACAATAGCCTGTACATTTTTGCCATGCATTCTGTAAGATAAGATATAATGGGGAAACATATTAAGATCAGAGCATGACTCACCATATCTTCCTGAGTAGGTAATTCTTCACCACAGAAGCCACACTCTAAAGCAGAATCTTCTGCATTCTCAAATTTCACTTGCCCAGTGTTAATTACTTTAGGACCTTGAAAAAAGGAAAGCAATGAGAGAGAGATACAGCAAAACTACAGCTATCTTACAAAAAATTAACTAGACTGTAGTTTATGGATTTATATCTTAATATTTTAATATCTGTAGGGTGTGTATTCACCATAGTAATTTATGAAATATATTAATAGATCATTAATAAAGCAAAGTCCTTCTGGATACATACACTACACGTCTGAGGAAACACATGGCTACCAATATGTTTACAATGAAATTAAAAATAATTATCTAATAAAATAACAATAAAATAAAACAAGAAACACAACTGATAACCAACGTGTTACGTTCAACTTGATAAGCATGTAATGTACAGTAAAGGCACATACACCAGAGCTTACATAATTTAACCCTAATATTTGCTCCAGCACATTTTATTTAAAAAAAAAAAGTATATATACAGTCTCTCCTCTACTTAAGACAACCCGGACACATGAAGGCCATGGTAGTATAAAATATTTTACATATTACGTATTTTCGAGTCCCGACGTTAGTGATCGCGCTGTGTACTGACAAAATTTTCGTTTGTAATTGCCTTTAAAATGGCTGGCAAGAGTAAAAGTGAGAGTTCTCGTGGTGCTGAGACACCGAACTAACAGGACAAATTCATTACGATAGGGCAGTCAAATTGAATTTGTCCCGTTAGTTCGGTCCCTCAAGCTACTAAATATTAATGTTGTTTTCAAGTATGACTCAACCATTACCAATATGTTAATAAGAAATAGCCCAAGTTTGAATGTAAATGGAAGTGTTTATTGTATTCCATGTAGCAAATGTAATGGTAATTATGTAGGACAGACAGGAAAAACACTGCAGCTCAGAATCAAACAACATAAGTACAATATCAGAACAGCATCTGAAAGCAGTGCCCTGTTCGTTCATGTTAGGAATAATAATCATCCCATTGCTTGGGAAAAAAGCTTAGAAGTATTTAAATCATCTTGTGTCACAGAAAGACTTCTGGTTGAAGCTAGTTTGATTAAGGAATTAAAATCAATAAACCTTAGTGATGGTCAGTTCAAAACTGATAATCTGTTACATAAATTTATTTGTCAGTGGCCCAAGGTTAAAAATGCTCTGAAAACCTTTGATCTAGATGTAGGATAGTTATTTAGTGGGTCCCTTATTTTTTAACTGACCTGACTAGTCACGTCACCCCCTTTTCTTAAGCTCCTCTACGTGTGTGTTGGTGTGGGGATTAGTGGATGACATCATAATGACCTGACCTCATGTTTAATAAGGTCACCCTGTATATTTAAGCCTCTCTCTGTCCATGTAATCCAGTTGCCTCTGAAGATGTCTTGAATACAGACGAAAGCTAAGGTGCTCCGTTGTTTCCCTTTTCCCGTGTGATTTTATCAAGATTTATCTTATCCACGTTTTCATTGTGGATCTACATGATATATATATATATATATATATTAGGGTGGTCCAAATTATAGGGTGAAAATTTTAAAATTGTCTGAACCAAGCAAGCACATGGTGCCCTTGTTGCACTTCCTGTACACTAGTTTTGTATAAAATTTTGAAGAAATTGGATGATGTTTAGGGGTCCTGCAAAACGTTTGCTCTGATCACATAATTCAACTCATCCATCACCAAGGACGAGACCCAGAATCAGTACCCCCCGAAAGTTGTATCTCAGCACAGGAAGGATGTGCCCTCCATGTCAAAACATGTCTTCCTGAAATAAACTTAGAATCTACAGACAACGATGCCTTTCCTTTTCTGTGAGCTTATTTGAGATAATTGTGTAAATTTTTTGTGATAACCGTGAAGTTGAAGTTTTGCGGGACCCCTGAATATTGAGATAAGGAACTGAAATTTTGCCTGAAGACATGTTTGGGGCAAAGGTATTAAAATTCCAACTTTTAATATAAATACTATATGTAATATGTGATACCACATATCATAACACTGAAATCCCACTTTACAAGAAAATAAAGCACAGAAAAATAAGAGTGTTGTATATTTTGACTGTAAGCTATGGTCCTCATATTATACATAATAATGATAAAAAATACAAAATAAATCTGTTTAACTTACCTTGTTTATCTTCACGAAAACTTTCATTTCCTTTTTTTACATTAGATGAAGTTTGTGTTTTATTTCTTGCAACTTTTGATGCTATTTCTACATGTGTGTCTCCCTGGGCGAGTGTTTCCAGCTCATCTAAGTGAACCAGACTCATGTGTTCAACGAGGAGACTTTTTGTAAGTAGCACCAGGGAACAGAGGGAACACACATAGGTAGCCGTCTGTGGAGATAAAAGAATAAGAAAGGTAAGTAATTACTGTGGCTATGAAATACAGATTCAACCATTCATACCATATATAGTAATTATGGATCTGACACCGAGATCCTACAAAAGCCTTAATGATGTGTATGTTACAGCGGAATATTGTATGCATAACATTTAAATACAGGTATCCCTCGTTACATGAACATTTGCCCTGCAAATATTTGCTTTCACAAATATTCTAGTGTTACACCTCTTTCTCACTATACAGTAAAAAAATTATGATTCCTGTAGGTAATGCACCAAATAGATATTTCATTACTTCTTTATTCAGTTAATGATCACCGACATGAATTACCGTATTTTTCGGCTAAAAAGACGCACTTTTTATGACAAAAATATACCTCGAAAATTACCATGCGTCTTCCAGGATGCTAGTCGATGAGTTGTAGCAAAGGTTTTTGAAATCAGCCCCTTACAAAGACTGTTACCTAATTACAGTACTTAACAATTACAAGTATTCTTTATACAGTACTATAAAACTATTGATTTAACTAATAATGTTGATATATTGAAAAAAAAAAAAAACCCTTGCTGCTGTGTGGTTTGTTTACTAATGGCAGTGGTGCAGCAGTGCCATCTATTGAGGAATTGCTAAAGGTTGTCTGCTGGTCTCAAATGCAGGAATGTTTGTTTCTTTATATGTAGGCTCTCATATTTGGACACCTATTTACAGTAGGCTCTCATATTTGGATACCCATTTAGACTGTAAAAAACCCACAAAATTAAAATCTTCCAAATTTAAATACAACTTCGTCATCCAAGTAAAAACACACACACAACAACATTGGCTGTCCTTATGTTTTCAACTTTATTACCACTGAATACTCTTACCAAAACAGTGAAAGATGAGGAACAGCAAATAACATTATTCTTAGAAAGAAACTGGAACATTTAGATACTAAAACATAGGATTATAACATAGTGGTAAAAAATGGTGGGATGATAATACCAGATTAGTAATCAGTAGAAAGATTTATCAAAATAAAATTAATATACCGTAATATGTAGCAACAAATGTGACACTACAGGCAAGTCCTGCTAGTTTTTCTAACTGTACAAAAGTTATACAATTGTGTTGCCCAGCATATGAAAGTTTATTGCACAATGTCCAAATCATTGGCTGGTTATTCAATCTTAATGTTAAATAACATTGTGCTAAATTTAATTACAGTACAGACTGCACTGTAATATGTATCAAAATTATTTAAAATGTTATTACTAACATCTTTACTGAACCCTTTAACTGCTATCATCGTTTTCAGATAACTAATGATAAAACCACCATCATCGTTGTAAGACGATTGGCATTTGGCACCATGAATTTAACGCTGTCCACCAAAAATTATACTATGAATGGAAAGTCAATGATTGGTAGTTATTCAAGAGTGAGACACAAGACTGGTGGAGCCTCAGAATCAAGTTGCAATCATAATTTTGGAATGATTTATGTCTCATACCCTCCTTACCCCCTCCTCCTGTCCTCAGTGGCCCCTCACCCATGATGCCACAGCCTTGCTCACCACCTTCACAAGGGCTTACTGCCCATTTTGCACCACAAAAGCCTACTGCTGCACCACCACAACCACCACTTGTATCTCAACAACCACCAGCTCCCAGCAGTTGCCAGTTACACTCTGCTTCACTTCACATACCCGGTACTTATAACTCATCAACCATGAGGAGTACAAAAAATTTATAAGTTTTTATAGCTTCTAAATTCTTTAAAACAAATGGTGTAGCATCAGACAATACACAATTGCACTGCACATTTTTATGGTGTCCAAACCTTGAAAAATCATGCCAAAAATAACAATTGCAGGTTTTCCTAGTACACTTCCTGATATAATAACTTCAGGCATTATGGAGAAGAATTCCCAAAATCAAGAACTGTCAAATAAAGGCTGAACGTTATCCCTTGTTTTCACAAAAATAAAAGGAGATGGTAAACTTGCAGTCTTGAATATGTCAACTGGAGTATGAAATTCCATAGAGAAGTTTCAAGGGTATATTTATGTTGGGCTTAACAAATGCAAAGCTTACGACAAATTCTGGGTCACTCTATGCTACCACTGCCAAAAATTTGGACACCTTGCATTATGCTGTTCCAAGAAGCTTGATTCTCCAGTTCATGCCTTCTATGCAGGCAGTCATGAGTCTAGGACATGCTCAAATAAGACCTCACCCTGCTCTGCAAATTGTTCCACTCTTGTAGTGCCACCTGAATCAGTCAGTCAGTCATTTTGCTTCAAGTAAAGCTTGCCCTATGATGACTTGCTAATTTAAAAAAGTAATTGCGAACACTGACTTTACTTGTTCAAAAAATGTGTGGTGCCTTTCTTGAGCCTATTAAAAGTGGGTCTGCTTAACATCCATGAGATCCAAAGCAAAATGTGTCACCTTAATGAGTTTCTGAGAGAGTTTAGCTTGGCTATCCTCTGTATAACTGAAACATAGTTGTATGAATCACATAACATTATTCGTAGAGCTCTTTCCAAGACACATTTTCTTGTTCACGTTCCCAGACCAGCGGCAGGAGGTCCGGGTGGTGGAGTAGCGCCGATTTACTCTGTGGCCCTGCTCAACATTAGACTGATTAAATAGTGACTTTTTTCCTCATTTGAATTTATGGAGGCAAAAATAAATTTCCATCGCCAAGTTATTAGAATTGTTGTTGTTCATCGTCCAGGTCACTCAGGTACAGACACAGAGTTCATGGATGAATTTGGCTTGTTTCTTGAGATTTTTCTGGAGAAAAAAAAAAGAAAAAAAAAGGGGGACAATGGTTAACCTATGATGACTTTAATTATTGGGTTGAGAATCCATCACTGAAATTCTTTACCTCTGAGTTCTTTGAAATCCTTGATCTAAACACTTTTGTGAATCCTGTGTCATGCCCAACACATGTTTCTGGACACACTCTAGACCTAGTTTTGTCTCCTGTTGACTGTGACTGTCTATTAGATGTTGCAGTTGACCCGATACGATCCAGCCGTCTCTGACCATGCTTTGGTTAATTTGGGTTAATCTGGGGTCTCAATACTTTTTGGATTGTCTGTACCTCTTTTCAAGCTTAAAATGGAAGACACACATAATAAAATATTTACAAAAACAAGTAGAACACCGGGATTCCTAAAAAAGAATCTTCACAACTGTGTATCACAGGTAAATTTAGTGCTGTGCCTTTATTGCATTTGTACAACCTGAATCAAAAATACAGCTCCTCCCCGACTTATGACCACCCGCACTTACGACCTGCCTTAGTCGTACCAAAATTTTGTCAAATTACATATTTTCGAGTCCCAAGGTCAGTACACAGAGAAAATTTTCGTTTGTAATTCACTTTAAAATGGCTGGCAAGCTTAAAAGTGGTGCTGAGAAGAAAAAGAGACACTCATTTTAGATTTTCTATGTATTATTTATGCATTTTCGACTTCAGACCATTTCGACTTACGACCTGGATTTGGGTCCCTAACCCCGTCATAAGTTGGGGAGGAGCTGTACTGTGCAGTGGTTTGGGATCCACATACACACATCAAACATTCAAAATCAGAAAACATAAAACACAAAAGCAACAAGACTCAAGAAACTAACATAAAAACACCAGTATTACAAAGCACATTAAAAAAATAGATTTTCCCAAGCCAAATCCAAATCCTGTCTAATCATGATATCTGCATTCCTCGTTGTTCCACTTATATCTGTCAAATGGTATTCCCTTCCAAATCCAACATTTTGTCCAATTCATATCAATGTTCTTTTAGTTATGTATTGTTCAAAAAACTTAAAATCCTTAGATCTTGTGTATTTACCAATTCACTTTTTTCCTATGGCCTTTTCAATTCTCCTCTCATTTTCTTCATTACTCCTTCATACAAGCCTTATTGAAGTAGAATCCCACTCTCAAAATTCTTCTAACAATATGTTTATAGTTTTTAACCATTAAAATGTACTATATTATAACAAGACTATAAAAATTATTCTCAAATCCAGTATGAATGTTAATCTGACATTGTACCAGTCCTGCACTACAGCCTGATCCTTATTCTTTCACCCACTTAAAAGATGTTAGAGAGATTTACCTGCCCCTGAAGACGAGTAAATGTTTCCTGCAAGCGGGATGTATGTTGGAGGACCATGTGCTCTATGAACTGATCTTCAGTCTGGTAATTAAGACTGCACACAGGACATCTGAAAAAATAAAAATAAATAAAGAAACATCCATGGAAAAACAAAGATGATTTATATAATGTTTAATAAAGCTGAGGGAACATAAACCAAGCCCTCCACAAATGTACTGACACTAATCTCTTAATACATGTATATGTTAGTCATTCGTCCATTAATGGGAAAGGCTGACGTTTCATGGGATTCATACTTTCTGAATCATCAGGTTAATAATATTTAATTGAATTCTCTCTATACTAGCTACTGTATCAATATTCCAAATAGTATATTTCTCTCTTAAATTTAGTTGGGGTTTTGGTTATCTTACTCTATGTGAAAAATTATGCCTGAAACGATATTAACGTAAGAGATACTAACCTAAAGAGAGGCTGGTTGTCCTTGACCTTCCCATCAAGAATATTGCGAGTGTGAATCAGATCTGCACCATGTTCTGACATAACATGGTGTGCCAGAGCAGCTTTGGTAAAAAACATCTTCTGACAGAGGGCACAAACCAGTGACCAGGCTTGTGGGGGTTTCTCTCTCCCTCTGACTCCCTATTCAAGACATGAAAGATAAATTACATAGAAAATAAAAAATATATAAAATAATTAATTTTTCCTCCTTTTCTAACTAAAAGGTAGTAAAATACAGCAAAATGTCTGTCACCCAAAAAGTTTGGGACCAAGAGGCTTCCATAAAATCAATAATTATGTAAAGTGGATACAGTACTTTTATGAATACATATCCAAGGAAAGAATGTAATAAATCAATTTTTGGGGCAAATACCTGCATACTAACTAACTTCATTATTCTCTAACACTCTCTATGTCTCATCATACTCCTATAATCAGATTCGTCACTCACACCAGCACACACACAGTCACTGAACAAGTTAGATGTTTGTCTAATTTCTCTTCATTTGCTCTCATGTAGTACAGTATACAGGTATGGAAAATTATTTTTATATTCTTAAATTTCATATTTAGAGCGCCCACATCATTAATAAAAGATTATTTCATAGATTAGATTTTCAGTTGACAGATATACATACAGTGATATCCCTGCTAGTTGGAATAATTGGTGCACAGCTGTTCCAGGATTGAGAGATTTCCTAGAATGGTGATGAATTTTTTCATCCTGGAAAAAATCTCACAACCCTGGAATTTTTCCAGGGACAGCTTTTCGAAAGTCTCGCACAGAGAAGTACAGAGCTGTATTTACTTATGTAAACACACACAATATATTGTAAATAAACAAAATACACCATTGTATGCGGGTATACCACGAAAACCGACATCCCATTAACCGCCGCTTTGCATAACTGATGATTACATATTGGGGAAATACCCCACAAGTTTCATTGATACCCTATCGGTCGGAAAATTGGGGAGGAGCGGCACAGCTATTTTGAATTTAGTTGGTGGTGGCGTGATGCAAATTCTTGCCATGAGAGAGCTCCGAGAGCTGCCTCCAACCAGTGCCTTAGATAGAGAGAGTTCAGTACTTGGTGATATGCAGGCACCATGTTGTTACTCAGCTGATGAAGAAGTTTGTGCTCATGCTGTAGAGGGTGATGATGTTAATTCAGTAAAATTATCATATATGTTTACAATTTGATAAGCATATTTTTAACTACTACAATTCTGCTGTCACTCGGAAAAGAGTACGACTATCATTCAGCTATGATACAATGATATGAGTTAGTAAGGATGTCTTCATTGGTGAGTTTTGAGGTGACTAAAGAGGCCGATACGGGATCGGCAGAGTCGTTCACAGATGTTGCACATGTGAATGGCTCCATCCAGTGCGGGAGGGGCACCGGCAGCATCTCTCCAGCGCTGGTGCTTGTCTGCTTCGGTTTGCAGTTGGGCAAATTCGAAAGTATTGACACCTTCTCGTGTGGTGCTCCTTCAAGCGTTACAGTGTGGAGTGATCATCTCCCAGGTGAGGGGGTCGATTTGGCACTTTTTCAGGTTTATCTTAAGACTATCCTTATACAGTACAGAGCATCCTCGTATAACGACGTCCTGCTTAATGTTGTTTCGGTACTCGCTAAACTTTAGAGACCGCAAAATTCATTTAAAGTCCTGGGGATCTGATACTATACGTCGTTTTTCGTGGTCACGGACTACTTTCTACGGTGCATCACCCGCTCTTGTCTAGCTGCACTACGCTCTCTCGACTTGGCACACTTCCCTCACTCACGGAACGTCACAGTGTCCCCAAACGAAGATAAGCCAGTCTCTGTTACGACTTCACATCATACGTGCGTGCTTAAGTGCTTTTGCTCTAAAACTGTACTATAATCATTCGAAATGGCTTCCAAGTGCTCATCAAGTGCTACTGATGCTAGTGTAGTCAAGAGGAAATGTAAGACCATTACCCTTGCTATGAAAATGAAAGTATTAACCCGATTTGAAAAAGGGGGACGTGCTGTGGTCATAGATGCTGTGCTTGGTCTAACCCCCACAACGGTGCGTACTATCCAGACCAACGCTGACAAGATTAAGATTAGTGCTGGAAGTGGTACTACTCTCAGTGCAACTAAAACAACTCGTACTAGAAGTACTGTGAAAGAAAAAGTGGAAAAGATGCTGGCTATGTGGATGAAGGACCAGAATCAACACAATGTACCTGTGAGCCTTATGGTTATCCAGCATAAGGCCAGATCCTTGTTTGACAACATAGAGGAAGAAGAGGGTGAAGGATCGAAGGAAGAGACTTTTACGGCCAGTCGAGGCTGGTTTCAATGATTTAAGCGCAGGAATAACTTCCACAATATTAAGATGACTGGTGAAGCTGCCAGTTCAGATACGGTTGCTGCCAAGACATTCCCGCCAGAATTCAAAAGGATTATCCAGGAAGGAGGATACTCATTGAGCAAGTCTTCATTGTAGATGAGACTGGTCTCTTTTGGAAGAGTATGCCTGAGAGGACCTATATCTCAAAGGAGGAGAAAAGAACACCAGGTTTTAAAGTGGCAAAAGACCGCTTGATGCTGCTGCTTGGTGAAAACGCTGCCGGTGACTTCAAGCTGAAGCCTATGCTGATTTCTCGCGCTGCTAACCCACGGGCCCTGAAAGGTTACTCTAAGGATCACCTTCCTATCATTTACAAGGCAAACAAGAAGGCAGGGATAACCGGCACCATATTTAGCCAGTAGTTAAACATGTACGCCGTCCCTGCAATGAAGGAATTCTGTGCCAATAAGAACCTTGACTTCAAAATTCTTCTGATCCTTGACAATGCCCCAGCTCATCCTCCCAATCTCGACGACTTGCATGACAGTGTAAAAGTTGTATTTCTGCCTCCCAACACGACAGCACTGATGCAGCCTATGGACCAAGGCGTCATTGCTGCACTCAAGGCATATTATTTATGCCGTACCATGGCCCAGCTGCTCAAGGCTACAGACGGAGAAAACAAACCCACGACCCGAGAATATTTGCATGGCTTCAACATTCTTCATGCAATTGACAACATTGGCAAGGCATGGGAAGAGGTTTCAGAAAGTTGCCTGAATGGTGTGTGTGGGGGGTAAATTGTGGCCCGAGTGTGTCAATATTTTTACGGGATTCACGGAAGTAGTCCCAACTGTGAATAGGGATATCCTCAGCTTGGTGAGACAGACAGGCTTTGATGAACTGGCATCAGAGGACATTGAGGACATCCTGGCATCCCATTCAGAAGAGCTCACCAACGAAGATCTGCAACAACTAACAGAACACAGTCCCGATGAAGACAATGCCGACGAAGAACCTCAATGTACGCTAACTTCCAAGAGGGTGGCAGAATCGTTCAACATGTTCCAGCAAGCAATACAAATCCTTATAGATGATGACCCAAACAGAAAACATAGCACAAAGGTTCAACGCAGCATTGGTGACAGTCTTGGTTGTTACACTGAGATCTAAAAGGAGAAGAAGAAGAGTAGAACCAAGCAGTCAACACTGGATTCATTTGTTCGTAAAATGACGGCAGAAGCAGCATCTTCACAACAGCTGGCAGCCGAGGAGGGGCACACAGCAGCCGAGGAGGAGCAAACAATAACAGAGGAGGAGCAAACAGTGGTGGAGGAACCCCAGTCAGCACAGGAGGAGGAGGAGGAGGAGGCAGCCGCAGAGTCTCAGTGACTCACCACCCTCCTCCTCTCCTGCTTGCCTCCGCTCCCGCCCTCCTCCGCTCCCGCCATCCGCCTCCTCTGCTTCACTACCCACCACACACTCGCTCCACCACCTTCACCCATCGGTGAGTACCAATACAAACTTAATAGTCCTATATATGCAGTATATACTATTTTCTAGAGAAATTGCAATGATTTTCTGTATATGTAATGTTTTTCATGGGGCAAAGGGAGGATCAGGAACGTAACTCCCATACTTTATCTATTTCTTATGGGGAAAATTGATCCGCTTAACGTTGTTTCATATAATGTCGCGTTTTCAGGAACGTAACCCCGATGGTAAGCGAGAACTTACAGTACCTTTTCAGTTGCCAGCCAGCATTACGTTTACTGTTCGTTAGATGACTGTAAAGTAGCTACTTTGGCAGTCTACTGTCGTCCATGAATAATGGTAGCATCCATGCTCCCACAGTTGGTGTCAGCGAGAATACTGGCATTTGTTCTCGTCTTCCCAGCGAACTCGGAGGATGGAACACAGACTAAATTGGTGAAAGTTTTCGAGTGCCTTGCGGTACCTCCTGTATTTGACCCGTCTCACTGCCATATAGCAGGGTGGGGAGGACCACTGCTCGATATACATGCAACTACATAGATAATTTCAGCTCCCTATAGCTGAAGACATGGTTTCGGAGTCTGCCAAAGGCTTGAGATGCACATCTGATCCGATGTTGAATCTCTTCATCAATGTCCACGGTGGTGGACAGGTGGGAGCCGAGATACTGAAAGTGGGAAACATTAAGAGAGAGTATTACCATTAAGCTGGATGGATGGTGGAGGTGTGACTGAACCAGGGCCGAAGTGTGCATCTGCATAAGAATTCAGGATCTCCTGTAGGTCGAATTCAGTGTGAGCGACAAGAGTGAGGTCGTCTGCATATTGAAGTGCAATAATGGAAGCTGCCAACACCTTTGTTCCTGCCTGGAGGCATCATATTTTGAAAAGATCCTTCATTCCGCCTGCTAAATTGGCACTGGCACGAATAAGGAAGGCAGCCATCAAAATGGAAAAGAGAGTTGCTTCATAAACTATGTACGAGACAGCCCAAGAAGACTTTTCACCCACAGAGTAACAACATAGTATCCGGGAGTAACAACATGGCGCCCTATTGGCCGAACTCTATCTACGGTTCCGCCTCCGACTCATTCCTGCCTCTGCACTTATTTACATATACCATGTGTCTACAACTTCACGTTTCTTTTGTTAATTCCAACTTCATGTGTCGTGAAATCTTGCCTAAACACCCCAGTGATAGTTCCTCTTGTGCTTGATGTGATGTGATAAGGCATAATAAGAGTGGTGATGGACCAGCAAAGATTGGTAGACTAACTTGCCACCCAAGACTGTCTCTACCAACATCAACATAGGTAAATAACTCTCTCAATTTATGCTTTACATTCCTTATTTAATGCTTATTTTGCTTGCTTGATATGTCTGCTTTATTTTCTTGCTTGACAGTGTGCACGACAGAGATATATCAAGGGTAGATGGAAGTTTTGGAGGTGGCCGGTACCTAAACTCCCAAATTTGTCATATTCTTGCGAGATTAATTGCTTCGATAACCATTGATTCACTAACCAACGACTTTTCACAGTCCCTATATGCGCTGGTTGTAGGGATTTACCTGTACACTATATTGTACTTACAAGCAGATGCTGTAGTCTTGAGCTTGTAATGCAGGCAGGCCAAATGGTGATATGATGATATAGGATGGCCTGCCCTTGTCCTGCACCATCTACTCTGACAAGTGTTGCAAACTGTCAGGTTCTCAACTGGCTCAGCCATGTTAATATTGTTATTATTATCCACTCTGTATCTGTATTTTTCTGGCTAAATAAACTGTTACAATTCAATTCAATTTAATTCAATTCCTCTCCCTCCGTGAAGGAGGGATTGTACATGCACTATATACAGTACATACACCCTCTACACTCCAGCATACACTGTTCACCCCCCTGCTATGTACAGAACAGTACTGTATATATGGTACTTTCAGTTACTGAATGTACAGTACAGTAAATTTAACTGTAATCACTGCTTTAATGGTATTCTTAGCTGATTATGTGCTGGTACAGTAATGTACAGTACTGCACAACACAGACCGTATGCAAAAACAGCAGTTAGCGAGCAAGCAAGCAGACCACCGTAGGGTCAAGACCTATTCAGGCGCTGCTCCTGCTGAGCAGCTGCCTCCCTTGGCCAATGTTCGGCCCATTCCCCAAGTCCCTCTCCCCGACCCATCCTCACCACCGGGATATCAACATAATCAAAAGTGACAATTTCGTTTCAGAAAGAAGTGGGACCAGTGTTGAACAGTGTTTAAGCCAGAGAATTCAGCACTTGACAGTACCAGTGAGAGCCGTGGCCCACCAGTGAGATAAGCACCCCTGGGAATTGACAACCATCTTCTGACAAGGAGGTGCTAATCAGTTCACCCTGGGAACAACAGTGGGTCGGCTTCACACCTGACTTCGAAATAACACAACACCACCCAGTAGGGTGGGGTACTGTGACACCACCTTCATATCAACACCTGAGGACGAGTTACTGCACCTTGTGAACACCACGCCACCTGGTGTCTCCATGACCAGTCCAGGCCCAGGCCATCAACTATAATAATTTGTATGTTCAATTCATGGTCCTTCTTCTTTCAGTAATGAAAGCTTGTGTTAAACGACACACCCACCCCATGTCTTTGTACGTAATAAGTCATTTTTGTCCTATGTATATTTTCAGCCTTCGGGCTGCAGAACTTTTTCAATAAACAGTTAATTATTATTATTATTATTACAATGAACTAACAGTGGCATGATGCAAGAGTTTGAGGAGATAGACTGCAAGATACATCAGCCAATCATATGCATCCCATGTAGATCACAAGACAGTAGTGGCAAATTGTAGCTCTCAAGCAATCTGAGCCTACCCACCCAAGTGCCCAGCCCGAGGCCTTACATCGGAAAACATGATCCAATCCTTGGAAATTTGTTCCCATACCCATATTGGCTATTGGATAATTCTGGGGATCAAAGATTCCAGCTAACGGAGAGATCACTGTACTTTACAGTAATTAGTACCAAATGTGTATGAGAAAACATTTCTCATCATTGCCTCCACTTTCCCAAAGATTATAATTTTTTTTTTCGTGAATCACCACTGAAGACATCATTCAGTGCACTCAAATTGCTTAAAAATTTTCTGAAATATTTCCTAATTCTATACTGTACAGTGTTACAACTAGGAAAATTGTAGAGTTCTCATTTATCTAAACTAATGTATGATGTTTCACTTCTCCATGAGGTCTCATCTGAGGGGTTGGCCAAAATTGAAGAGCCTCTTCCTCATATCCCCTCTCCTGTTGTTTCCTTAATACTGCATAGTGTTTTACCTAATACATTGCCTTTAAACCTCTTCTTCTTATTCATTCTCTCCTTCATCCTTCTCATATCCAATAGTGAGCTCTGGAGGCAAGGGATGCCATCACCTTTTAATTATCTACCAATATGTGTGCTTTTCAGAAATGGAACCCATGACTCAATGAATACTTAATGATATGTCAATCTACTCTGATAAAAGACTGCCATATTCACAGGAAGTGATAGCAGTGAAATGTCCTGACTTTTTCCCAATTTGAGCAAAAATCTCTCTAGTGACATGTTTTCTCCTGGAGAGGTTGATGAATAAAGTGAGGAGCTTGTTTCTGCATATATGGTTTATGACACACCCAAGCAGGCAGTGAGTTAAACCACATGGCAATATTTGAGGTTTGTTGTGGAAGAGTAATGAGCAGCCAATACAAATGCCAGCAAATGATAGAGCCTTTGCACCACTCTTGGGTCCAGATATCCTACACTCAAACACAGAAAGACTTGCAAGAAGAAAGGGAGGAAGTAAGACTGTGTAATAGGGGTTAATCTTAGGAAATACAGCTGCTCCTCGACTTACGACGGGGATAGGGACCCAAATCCAGGTCGTAAGTCGAAAATGCTTAAATAATACATAGAAAATCTAAAATGGATGTCTCTTTTTCTTCTCAGCACCACAAAACTCTCACTTTTAAGTTTGCCAGCCAATTTAAAGTGAATTACAAATGTAAATTTTGTCAGTACACAGCACAATCACTAACGTTGGAACTCGAAAATACGTAATTTAACAAAATTTTGGAACAACTGAGGCGGTCGTATGTCGAAGGTCGAGGAGTAGCTGTAGTCCCTTTTTAGTCTTAATAAAAAGTAAATCAATCTGATGATTAAATACCTTAGAATCTGCTACTAGAGCAGTTGGCTGTGGTTGACCTTCTTGACATGCTGTCTCAAGACTAAGCTGTACAGTGTGTGCTAAACCTGTTGTGCTTCGTACCAAGCCCTCATTATCAGCTACGAGGAGACCACGGGAGTTTGCTACAGGATATGCTGGAAAATACAAGTTGCAGGTAAGTGATAAAAACATTAACAAGTTCAATTTCAAGATACAGCATATTAAATTTTTTGTCTAGAGCCATTTTATATTTTTATAAAAAATATAAAAATAACTTTAACTGAACAATTTCATTCATGTAACTTTGTGCCTGAAAATTAATAGCATTTTCATAAAAGTTTTCTAGCACTTAAAAGTGTTTTCTTGCTATGTTGTAGGGTGGATGTCATCCAGCATAAAAGAATATCTTCCCTCACTTGCCTCAAGACATTCATTCTAATTGCTGTAACAACCCAATAAACCACTTGATACCACACTCTCTTAATACACATGTATTCTGCTGCTTCCTTAAGAGGAGAGTCTGGTTTTTGGTGTAGGTGCTTTTAATTTTGGTAGATTGTCATGATATTCCTGTCATCAATCAAGGATCATATGTACAGTATCGCTCAAGGTTTTTTGAAAACCGCTGGAGACAGCTGGCAACTCGAGGCCGTTTGTTTACTAAAGTACGTAGTAAAAATTATGAATGAATGTATTAAGGTTCTCGGTGATTGGTTACTTAGTTCCCCGTTGCTTAATTAATGGTTGGGCTTTGTTGTTTCGATTTATATTATACTACGTACTATAATAAACAAATGGCCTTGAGTTGCCAGCAGTCTCCAGCAGTGTTCGAAGAATCTTAAACGAGATTGTACATCAATTCTAAGCCGATCTAAGCCAGACGCTCCTCTTGAGGTCTGTTCATCTAATTTCTAGTGCTGTTCACAGAATTTTCTCTTACCACCTCCAACTCACCATTCCAATTTCTTCTTGGTCTTCCCCTCTCCCTCTTACCATCTACATATGAATTATAGTCTTCTTCCCAAGCTTTCACTTCCTATTCCCTAATGATGTCCATACCACTTTAGCAGACCTTAGTCAGCTCTGTACAACACTTCTTATGGAAGATGATTACCACAGCACAACACATCTTTGACAACACACACACACACACACACCATGTGAATATATATATATACATATAAGAATTTTAAAAGGATTTAAATACTTTTAATATTGGAAAAAGAGGAACATGGACATAATGTTACTAATACTACAATACTGTACATTTGAGAAAGGGGATGGGGACTGCTAAGAATCCATAATATATTATGATACTGCACCATTAAGTAAAATAAGGCTCAAATATATTAAATGATATCAACAATGTAATGAATTAAATCTAAGGCATTTTTTAGTTTTCTATGAGTACGTTTAAAAGAAGTTAAATTGGAGAAATTTAAAAAACATTCTTAGAAAGCACAGCTATATACTGTACTCGATCTGTATCTCATTTTGACTTATCAAGAAAACAAATTTAATGAAGATAGAAATTGCTGTACAGTGGTCCCTCGGTTAACGAAATTTCGGTTAACGAATTACCTTCCATAAGAATCTTCATTCAGTTAATGAAAAAAAATTCGATTAACAAAATCCTTAAGAAAATCTCGCTTTGTTTTGAACATCAGCTGATAAGCTGAGGAGGTACTCAGCCAATTCAGTAATCTCTTCTATGTTTACATTCGTTTCCAATGGAGTAAATATCAAGAAAATTGTGCTCTTTAATATTTGTGCATTTTTTTATACAGTATCAAAATTATTGGTCATTCTAAAATTCAGCCATCTGAGCTCTGTCTACATAAAGTTTTTCAACTATTATTTTTGGCTCAATATATGTAATTTTATTCATTTATTGAAACTCATTTACATGCACACACTGTCCTAAGGGCAATGCTGAACTGTACATGTAATCAGAATTGATTGATTGATACGTTTATTGAGATACAAAAAACATTAATACATCTCAAAGGGATGAAGTGACATAAGTCATCCCCACCCGTCCAGGAATGTCCCTCTCAGGACTCACATAAATCCCTAATATTTCATATAATCAGTTATAGTACATAGTTATATTCTAGATGCAAAATTTCTATATTTCTTTAATATTTCATCTATTTTCCTATTTTTAAACATCCACTCCATTTGCTTGGGGACATTATTTATATGGGCATTTCTATATACATTAAGCAATGGTCATTCCAGTATATAATGTGGCAGGGTATGGGATCTGGGTGTTCTACAAACTCTACATTCTTTATCCTGTTCACTTCTCTCAGCTCCAAGTTCCCAATAATATTTATATCCTAATCTTAACCTCATATACACTGAAGCTTTCCACCTACTCCTATCTTTCCCATATGTAAATTTTGTGTTCATGAGAACATGATGGTAATGTTTCATTGTTAATCAGAATAATGTACAAAATGATTACTAAAATTTTTGTCTAGTGTAAACTATGGCATGCTTACATTCAAATTAATCACTATCTTATAAGAATTCCAGCAATGTAAATTATATTCTCCCCGGTCACTTCTATGAAATTTTATAAGTAAAAAAACAAAACCTCAATCTAAAAGACATAAATAGACAATTAAATACTTCACACCTCTGCGCCAACTGTCAAACATGTCACTGTCACCCCTGCCTCCCCTCCTCCCAGCAAGGGTTGTTTGGTGGTTCAACTGTACCTACAGTAGTAGGCTTTAAATTTTTATCTTATATAATATTACAGTCTAAAGTTAGGAGAATGTAATTTGCATTGCTGGAATCCCTGCAAGACAGCAAATAATTTGAATATAAACGTCATATATTTTGCACAAGAGATAAAAATTTTAGTACTGTACTGTACATTGTTTAGTACATTTTATAATGTAAAGATTTTCAACTGTATTTTTGGGTAGATTTACATAAATTTATTCATTTATTTTCATTCATTTACACACACACACACCATACTAAAAGAAACGTAAAAGAAATAAATGACCTGAGTGCAAACCTGGAGTGTACATGGTACAAAATGATAAAGGTACTAAAATTGTTGTCTAGTGTAAATTATAGCTTGTTTACATTCAAATTTATCACTATATTATAAGAATTCCAGAAATGTAAATTATATTCTCCCCGGTCACTTCTATGAATTTTTATAAGCAAAAACCAATAACTCAATATAAAGGACTTAAATAAAGAAAAATACTTCTCAAGACCTGGGCGCTAAAAGTGTCAAAGTATCACATCACGGCACCTCCCCTCTCCCCTCCCTCCCTCTCCCCCATCTGCCCAGCCAGGGTTTTTATCTTGTATAATACAGTATCTCAGACTAAAGTTAGGAGAATATAATTTGCATTGCTGAAATCCTTGCAAGACAGCGAATAATTTGAATATAAACGTCATATATTTTGCACGATAAAATTTTTTGCCCTTTGTAAAAAAATTCTTAAATTAGATCTAAAATTTGTATGTCTAATGCAAATTATAGCTTGTTTATATTGAAATTAATCACTATCTTTTAAGAATTCCAGCAATGACAATTATATTCTCCCCGGTCATATCTATGGAATTTTATTAGCAAAAAGAAACTAAAAAAAATTAATACTTCACCAGACGCACTAACTGTCAAAGTACAATTCACCTCCCCCCCACTTTTCCCACACTTGCTTGCTCCCTCCCTCCCTCCCTATCCCTGCACCTGCCTCAGAAAAAGGTTTGGGGCTTTCCTGTAGGCTTACAGTATTTATCTCATATAATATCTCAGACTAAAGTTAGGAGAATATAATTTGCATTGCTGGAATCAATGCAAGACAGAGAATAATTTGAATATAAACGACATATATTTTGCACAAGAGATAAAATTAATCACATTTAAGGGCGATTTAGGGGAATTTTAGGAGTGTTTCTGACTTTATAAGTTTTTGGCTTTAATTTGTATATACTTTACTGTGAGCTGGAACCAATTACCCAAAATCCCATTGAAACAATGGTTTCGGTTAACGAACGACCTTCTGGAACGAATTGTGTTCGTCAACCAAGGGACCACTGTATGTAAAAAAAATTTATTGCAAAATTGGTGTAAGTAGAAAACATATGACCAAGAGTGATTTTGTGATCTTCCTAAGCATTTCACAGCTAGGTTGGGATGAATTTCCAATGAAGATAAAAAAAAAACTCACCACCTTAAATAATGACTAATAAACATTTACACATTTTTCGATGGGCATTCCTAGAAAATTTTAGCATAAAGTATAATAATTTGATTGACCCCTCAAACACCCATAGAAATATATATTATATTCTAACCTCCTTCAAAAAGTAGTGAAGAATTTCTAGAAGCTACCCTATTGTTTCCACCTCTCCCTGGGGGCCGCCCTCTCCGGCCAGGTCCACGGCCTCTCCTAGTTGGGGGTGGCAGGGGATCAGGGTCAGCAAATGGATCATCCTGAGATTCGGGTTCGTCTTCCTCTTCCTCCTCACCTTTCACCTCCACTTTTGCCCCAGATAGGTCATGCACAGAGAACTTGGTGCACTTTTTAATATGGCTGGAATATTGGCGTTCTTTGCTGAAGGTACGATCACAATCCTATAAACAATGATTTCATATAAAAGAAATAAAGACCTAAACATCATTAAAAATAATAATACAAAAATTTTAAGTCTGGATAATTTGAATAAATTTATGAAGTCAAAATTCCATGCAATCTCATGACAAAATTAAATTCATTCTATTGTCTGAATTAAAGTGAATCAAATCAAAATCTCTCAAATGATGACTGGGTGCTTCTTCCATCCATGCATACAGTTTGGTGCATGGGAATGTAGTTCCAGCCTACCTAGTGGTGTGCATTAAATCTTGGCTTGTTGTGAACTTTTATAAATAATTTTTTGTTAAAATACACTCCACTGGAAAGTCTGATCTGAGGAGGGTCAGCACCGTACCTTTCGTCTGAAGATGCCCTGAAAGGCTCTCCCCACCAGCTCTACTGTCAACCTCCTACCCTGCCCATTACCTCCACTGTCAACTCAACCTCCTACCCTGCCCATTACCTCCACTGTCAACTCAACCTCCTACCCTGCCCATCACCTTTCACTGTCAACCTCCTACCCTGGCCATCACTCTCACCGTCAACCTCCTACCCTGCCCATCACCTTTCACTGTCAACCTCCTACCCTGCCCATCACCTTCACTGTCAACCTCCTACCCTGCCCATCACCTCACTGTCAACCTCCTACCCTGCCCATCACCTTTCATTGTCAACCTCCTACCCTGCCTATCACCTTTCACTGTCAACCTCCTACCCTGCCATCACCTTTCACTGTCAACCTCCTACCCACTGTCAACCTCCAACCTCCACTGTCACTCAACCTCCTACCCTGCCCATTACCTCCACTGTCAACTCAACCTCCTACCCTGCCTATCACCTTTCACTGTCAACCTCCTACCCTGCCCATCACCTTTCACTGTCAACCTCCTACCCTGCCCATTACCTCCACTGTCAACTCAACCTCCTACCCTGCCCATCACCTCTCACCGTCAACCTCCTACCCTGCCTATCACCTTTCACTGTCAGCCTCCTACCCTGCCCATAACCTCTTTTTGTGCCCAAGACTCCTCATTGCCATCCTCCCGCCCTGCCCACCACCTCTCTCTGCCAACTTCTTGCTCTACCACACCATCCTTGCCTTCCTCACTGAGTGTGCAGATATTGACATATCTGGACAGTGCTGTATGCATCAATATTTGTTGAGTGGATACTGTACCCTGGAAGACATACACAAATCTTACTCTTTTATTTTTAATCACTGGCAAATTCAACCCATCCTTACCTCAAAAATGTTCAAATTAGTGAGATTTTCCTATATATATATATATATATATAAATAGCATCACTGAACATGAAGTCTTAACTAGTTACCTGTGAAACCAACATTTAGATAGATAAATATGAAGACTGGCAGGATTTTTTTTAATAGTGTTCTGATGTGCTCCAATGAATACTTGATAAAATAAATTTATTCATTCTAAAGCCATAGAAATTACTCTTTCTAGCACATAAAAAATATATCCCACAATTTGTTTACACGGGAGGATACAAAAAAGGAGATGCCACAGATGTAGCTGCCTGACTCACATCTGTAGCATGCATGTTGATTCCTATAACGCGATAAATGTAAATATAGAAGTAAAAAGAATTAAGCAAAATAGACTTGTAAATGCTTTTTGTACAGAGTAATACAGTAGATCATTAAGTTGATTAAATGCTTATGTATGTACCTAGTAATTCAGATGAGTTGACAAATTAAGTGAATTTGAATGTTCTGCCTGAATGACTAGTAAGTCAGGAACTTAGTTTCAGCATGATGTGGGAAAATCTATCTCCTAAACTAAGATTTGTTTAGTAACCAAAATTTAATAGAAAAATACCTCATAGTAAAATAGTAAAATTAACAAATATAAAAATTTTCATATTTGTTATTTACAAAAAAGTCATATACTGTAATGCCTAAGTAGTTTTTACACGTGAAACGGTCACATGATGAGGCAAAGAGGGGGGACACTGTGGTACCTAGTGGTCAGACCGCCTTAATCATTCAAGGGAGCTGGACGATTCAAATCCTATCAGACGTATCGGCTACTTCCATACCTTTTCAAATGATACAAAGCCTCCAAGCAATCAATTCTACACTTACAGTAGTTATTTATTCTGTACATAAGACAGTAAAAGAATGATCACCAACCAGGCATCTGAAGTTATGATGTTATAAGAGATCCAGCCCAGCGGTCCAGAATACACCACCGTCTCAAGTTAAGATAAAGTATCATTGTTATATTGTCTGGACAGAAGTTTAGACTATCTAATCCTGACTGAATACTGTCACTGGTGCTAATCTGCAGGACAATTTAGTTGGGATATTTGTTTTAGCCATAATATTTACAGTAGTATAAAAGCATCCTTAAGGTATACAATAGAGAATTAGGGTTCCATTCAATATCATCTGCCATCAAGTAATTTAGTAACATGGTTAAATTTTAGTATAGACCTTTTGTTATTTGCTTATACCAGGGCATTCCATTGAATCAGTGCGCAGACTACTCTCTTTAATAATTACATAGAAAGCATCATAAATTTTCAGAGGATTTGATAGTGGCAGAGGTGAAATTAATTGGAATTGTGGTAGAGCAAGACCTTGCCTTTCTACTTTGCATACAATATGTGTATGGGGTCACAATAGTTTCACTAATAAATGATTCAAGCATAAATCAATATTCCAAACTCATTTTTCTGACACTAGATAAAACCTTAATTGTATGTCAATAAGTATCATGAATTAATCTTTTAACTGTAGCCCCAGAACAAGGAAGATGGATAAAGAATAAAACAAAAATCAATCATAACTTACTTGACATCTGAACTGCACAGCCTGTTCCAAAGCTGGATCTATTTCCAGTGCCTCCATTTTTCCTCTCTTTGGTGGAGCAGTCTCAGGCTCCAGGTCATCACCCTTTCTCTGAAAGAAGTGTTTTAAAAAGATACAATTTTCTTTCCTCAAAAAATTACATATTACAGGTGGAGACCCATTCACCTAAAATTTCAAGCCCTAAAATGATGACCAAAATAAGTTGGCAAATAGTAAACAAGAGATAACAAAGAGAAGACATTATTCCAGTGGTTGGCTGTACAGTATGTTGGCAAAAGTTTTGCAAGACTTTAACTTATAATTACAAGGGATTATAGATTCCTCTTGTTTTCAGAAACTCTCTCCACAGTCTGTCAAAGGCAAGAATCTTAGCTTATAGCACCTCCCTTTTGTCAATCTTACCTGTATCTCTTTTTTCTTCAGACAATGAATTAAAACTTTGCTCTACACCTTCTTAACTAACCCAAGACAACCTTTCTCGGTAATTCTTGCATTTAAAATTTCATTCTTTCCTTATACACACTAAGATTATCACTATCTTTGTTTGATCATCTGGCATGCAACCACTTTGTCATGCAACCATACAAACACCTGCTACTTCTTATCCACTCTTTAACATTTCTAAGAGCTATTCCATCCCTAACACTTGAATTTCTCTAGTGTCAGGTACTATCATGCATTATTTTCCTCAAGCTTCCAGTCCCATCACCTCTAATCACCATTTGAAAATATTACCACAACCACCACAACTACCTCCGTCACCAGTCATCTGACATCCTACACAATATTTCTACAGCCTACTCATTTTCAAGCAGCTAGTAGTTCAATCTGCCTTCTAAATATTAAGATCAAAAGTTTATTTTTACAGTTACAATAAAAAATGTTACATCTGTATTAAATTTTACAGCATTTGTGTCTATTACCCAATTGCACTAGACCCTCGCTTTATGCGCATTCACTATACAGGTGCTCCTCTACTTAAGAAAGTTCAACTTACAAACTTTCAGATACAAACATCATCACTGGGGGTGGTTACCTGCCAGAACAGGTGTTTAATGTCGATGAGACTGGATTATTTTTAACAAAATTCCAGATAGAACAAACATTACCTGAGAGGAGAAGAGTGAGCCAGGTTTTAAGGCTGTATTAAAGGGCATAGCTCTACTAAATTTCCATAATCTTTTCATTTTTTACAATGTTTGGTATCTACAGGAGTAAAGTTGGACTTACAAACAAGCCTCAGGAACGTAACTTGTTCGTAAGTAGAGGAGCACCTGCATGCGAATTCGCATTTATGTGGCGACCCTATTTCTACCCACAATTCGTTTTATGTGGAAAAGATTCCCCATTATGCGTTCTGTAGAAGATATGGTGCACTATATTAAAGTATTTTAATTATTTTTCTACAACTTTTAGAGCATTAATGCTCCAGAAATGGTTGTGAAACATGGCACAGTGTGTGTGTGTGTGTGTCTACTGTGCTGAATGTGACATCACGGGATGCAGCTGGAGTGGTGAGTCAGCTACTCCACACACTTTCCACACAAACACCCATGCTCTTCATATTTCTTCGTTTATAGTTTTATATTATATTTTATAGTTTTATATAATATTATCTTTATTTCTAACCCACATTAGAGTATTGTAATGATTTTTTCACAACGTTTATAGCATTACTGTTGCTTTTAGTAGATGTGGAACATATCCTAATTTTTCCCATAAGATTACCGGTAAGTATTCACCTCATGCGGAATCCCATTATGCTGTGTGTTATCACTGAACGCAACCATAGCATGAAGCGAGGGTCAGGTGTACTATATATGTACCTCCTGCACCTTCACTAGGAAACAAACCCCCTACACCATCTACATAGAAGGCTGAGTCTTCACTGTACACAAAGGTCTCTGTCCTACATTTATTCATTTCAATCCAGGAGTGCCAACTGTTTTCTCTGAGATTTTCAATACAGTGTATTCTTCTTCCAAAATCTTCCATCACTTTCCTTATGAAAACATACATCTTTAAAACTTGGTCACATCCTTAAAAACAGTTCTCTATAATCCACTCATCACTGGAGCAACCAATATCTCTCTATTTTTCTTTTTTCTCAATTACTTTTCATATTCTCATTCCATCAAACATTGAATTAAAACTCCCTAAACATCAACATTTAGTTACAAACCTTGACTGGTCCTGTCTTTTTCCGGTATGGACTATGATAACATTTTAGAAAATGTTGAGAGATCTGAGGTCGAGTCTTGAACGTCATCTTGCAGAAAGAGCACATATATAAAGGTGTTTTTTCTACCTTCACTTCCTCCTTCTTACAGCTTCTCATATGTTTCCTGCAGAATTAAATGATTTACCATCTAATTTTCAACTTTCCTCAAAATTCAAAAAATTTCCACACTAAACAATACAGTATATAGGCATATTATTGAAAATATATAAAGAACTTCAATAACATATAAATATAATGAGGACTAATAATCATCATTTATCTAAAAGTGACCATGTTTAGAAACAGTTGCTATAAACTGACTAGGTTGAGTAATCCGGAGATGTAAGTTTAACCCTTTAGAGGGCACATTATCACTTAGGTATTTTATTCTGGCTAAAGCCAGATGATTTTATTCAGCTGAGGGGAGCCCTTGTCCACTAAAGGGTTAACTATGATATACAGTACAGTATATGGTATCCCTTTCCTAAATTACAGAATCTTAACAAACTACATTCATTGCCACACATAAAAAGTCACCAATAGTGGTGAGAAAAAAAAAAAAAAAAATGAGCTGACTGTTATATTATGAAGTAACTGCTGACTGCTTGCAATCATAAGAAATGATAATCTACCAAACCCCAATTCTTATCTATTAAATATTTGTGTTGATTAACATTACCCCATCAAAATAATGAAAAATAATCTATGTTCATAGCCCTACCTAAAGAGTTATTACACATCCTCTCGAAGCATGGGAAAACCTTAACAGTTCACCCAATGTGAGAACCCTAGTCCGTGCACTGAACATTCATAAGCTCAAGAATTTATCACTGAGATTCCTCTCCCACTCATAAAATAAGTTAATCTTCATTATATAATCATACTAAATGGATAATTTAAATAAAAATTTTAAAAACCCATGAGAAAATGTACTGTACTTCTGCTCCAAGGAAGCAGAATGAGACTAGGGTCACATCAGAGTGTCATTTTCATGTGTTATGTTTTTACAGTACAGTACAGTACAGTACAGTACTACAGTACAGTACAGTTCAGTACAGTATAGTACTACAGTACAGTACAGTACAGTACAGTACAGTACAGTACAGTTCAGTACAGTACAGTACAGTGTCGTATATCTATAGAGGCGTTCAAATATTTAAAAAAGGCCATTACTGTACTGTACATCCTAAATATAAATCTTTCTTATGCATTCATCAACCACCCCTACTCACTGCATCTGCCCCATGATTTTGAGATAGGTACAGTACTGCTTCTAAAAGTCCAAACAATGTTCTAATACTGTACAGTAATCTATTTACTGTATATGTTGGTCAAATTAAAAACATGATTAAAATTGGTCAACTACCATTTTCACCATATCTTGATTACATACTACAGGTAGTAGTAAAGCAGCTCTTACTCACCCCAGTCTTTTAATAAATTTAAGCAAGCAATTAGCATTTGCCTTGTTTATGTGGTAGACAAATAAACCATATATGGTAGCAATCAACATGCAGAATTACTAATCCAAGAAATATCTAAAGTTAAATTGTTGGGTCATAGTCATCTGATAAAAGGACAGTACCATGAGAGAGTGATGATTTTTTTTTCCATATGGTAAATGGTATTATTGAACCAACGTTAGAAAACAAGGTCAGGTTTCATAGGGTTTGTTCTTGAGTGAATTTATCTCATTATACAAATAGGGCTGCATCCGTAGACCCTCAAAATTTTTGCATGCATAATCCAAAAAATTTCTTTAAAGACTGTACACTTTCAAAGCTCATATATAATCAATCTACACTTCTGTGATCCACACAATGAATTTAAATACTGTATCTCCAAAACCTCCAACAATATGTACTCATTATTTTTGTAGGCTTTGAGAAAGAATTTGACAGGGTACCACTTGAAGTAGTAAAGTAGGTAATGAGAAAGCTAGACATAGAGGATTACCTTGTTCGAGTGGTTAGGGTATTATACGAGGGCTCAAAAAACTCTGTAAGAGTAAATAGTAAGGAAAGTGAGGAATTTGAGGTGAAAGTAGGAGCCCATCAGGGGTGCGTCTTGGGCCTCCTTCTATTTATCATGGTGCTGGAGGCAATTTCATGGGACTTTTAGGAGTGCCTGCCCTGGGAGTTGTTGTATGATGATGACTTTGTGCTGAGAGCAGATAGTATTGAAAAGACAGTGGAAAAATTTAAGAAAAGGAAGGATGGAATAGATGCAAAGAGACAGAGAGTGACTGGTGAAAACAAAAGTATTGATAGTGGTGTGAGTAAAAGACCTGTGGTGGGAAGTGAAAAATGGCCATGTGTTGTCTGTAAGAAAAGTGTTGGCAGCAATTCAATAATGTGCAATGAGCATAGAAGGTGGGTACACAAGAGGTGCAGTGGATAGAAGGCAGACTGTGGGATATTGCTGACTTAAGTGTTCTGTATGTGCAAGTAACCATGTGCTCACATCAAGGCTGGTGAAACCCAACATTGTGGATATATCCCTGGACTGTGTCAATGAGTTCTGTTACCTGAGTGACACAATCAGTGCTGGTGGGGGTACTGAAGCTTGCTCAGTTGCAAGAGTCAAAAGTGCCTGGGAGAAGTTTAAGGAGTTGATGCCTTTATTGACAGCAAGAGGACCTTTTCTCCGAGTGAATGGAAAAATGTATATGGTTGGTGTGAGAATTGTTATGTTGTATGACAGTGAAACATGGGCAGTTAAAGAGGATGACATAAGTAGACTTGAGTGATCTAAAAAGAGAATAATAAGGTGGATGTGTAAAGTGACACTAAAAGACAAGAGGCCTTGTTCCGAGCTAAGAGGGCGGCTGGGTATTGGGAGTACTGCATTGGTGAAATCCTCCGTAGAGGCCCCTTTACTCTCAATCTTGGTCTAAATTACTGTAGTACACTAGACAAATATCTGGTACTCGACCAAACAGTTCGTTAAACAGTTACTCTCAATTAAAAGTCTTTTATACAAAATGAATGAGATAGTTTATGTTAAATTTTAATTTTAAAGTAATACACTGTACTGCACTATGTTTATGAATTGATACTAATAAAGCTCAGTACAGTATAAATATAAATTTTATTTACAGTAAGATCTTGTATTTCGCGAGTAATATAAACTGGAAAAATTGCGCTAAATTTAAATTTGCCAAATACAAATACTGTACATAAACTAATGGGAAAAATAACAATATAGACTGGCCACTCTACGTCAACCTCTGATTTTCCCATTTATAACCACCAAATGATACAAATTCTGCCTTTATTGACCTGATTGTGCTTTCCGGAAACTAGTCTTTAGGCCTTCCTCAAGTAACTTAATCACACGCTGCTTATCCTGCATCAAATACTTGGCAAACTTAACTCCCTTATGATAGTCCCAATTCTCCTTTTCCTTATTTGGCCGCTTACGTGGGTCTGTCCCACCCCCACCAGCAGGACCCCTAGTAGAGGTAGAGGCCATTATCTTGAATCGACAGGTGATAGCACCACCCAAAAAAGCACACAATAGCAGTCTGGGCGGTCACTAGGATGACACGGGCTGCAACGTGATAGTAGCATTCTTGTAAACCTCTTTTACGTTCACAACCGGCTATTCGATCACCAGAACGCTTCTTGGAAACATTCTTCTTACCTTGTCTTTCCGTATTCATCGCTAACACAACAAAATTGGAGTAAACAGCAAAAATCAAGGAGTAATCAACAGACACCATACGATTCAACTGATCACGTGATGTAAACAGAGAGCGCTGGTGTAAACCGTTATTAGTCCTCACTGCGAAACATTCTTTTTACTTATTCTTTTCATTAAAGTATTTATGGGTAACAGCTAAATTTGCAAAAAAATAAATAAATTATCAAGTACCTCTCTAAAAACACTTCACAAACAAAAGGCACTAATCAATTGAACATGTGATGTCGAACGTGAACTGTAAACATTGCATAGCCCCGCGCCACGCTTAAAACGTTGAGGATGGAATCAAAACATTGAAGATGGAATCACGCTATAGCCAAAATTCGTATGCAAAAGTTCACATTTTACAAACAGCATTTCTCTATTCATCAATCGCGTTACAACCAACTCACGTTGATAAAACACGCGCTGTAGCAGAAATGACTGTAACTGGTATGAGGGCTGTAATGTCTTTCAAGATGGTGGCCAGCATTCAGCTTGCTGGATCTCGCGAAATTCACGATATTTTACGCCAAATATAAGACTTAGCTACATTAGGTAGTGCTCGCGAAATTAAAAAATGCGAAATATGAGATCTTACTGTACTAAACTTAAAAATTTCCTTCTAAGTTGAAAAGGTAGTTATTAAGATTGTAAACAACTTGTGTAAACTGCCATAATGGTACAGAGAAACCTGCTAATCTGGCTACCCATATACTTAGAGCACTTACACATTTTGACCACTCAAAATTCAGGTCCTCTATATTTATACGGACTTATTGCATTTCTGGTTGCAATTTCTATTTTTAAACACTCAGGGAATGAAGTAAGAAGTAGCCTCAGGCCATTGTCCAAGAGGTGCCAATTATCACTTACGTCATTTCTAATATTTACTGATGATTCTCTTTGGAAGTTGACTGGGTACAAAATTTAAATGCATACAAAACCATGACTGACATGACTTGTTAGAAAGTATATAATCAGTATATTGTAGTAATCTCCCCGTTAGCCAGAATCTCCGGTCCTTGGAACTCTCCAATAGCCAGAATGAATTTTGTGCCTTCCGGGAAAACTCTCTTCATTCCGGGCATAGGAACGAGTTTCCAAGGATGAAATTGAGCGCATTTTCTGGAAAATTTCCAAGAAAATCTCTCCGTTCTGAGCATGGGAACAAATTTTCCGGGAATTATGAAAGGTTGCATTATGCTGGGCGCTTGGGTGGGCTAACTACTTAGGTAACTTAGGCTGTAGGCTCATGTCCTTAGTCCATATTGTGCTGCCATTACTGTATCAGGACACAATCAGCCAAGAATAGTGTTAAAGCAATGTTAAGATGTAAAAAGAGATTATAGTTATGTATACTGTACTGTACGTAAAATATGAAAAAACAATAAATAATAATCATCATCATAAGGTAAAAAACAAAGGGAATAAAAATTTTCTTGATTGTAAGAGCGGGAGGGGAACGTTGCTAAGTGTAAGCAGAGGTTGCTCAGCTGCGTTGCAATGGCAACAATTCAGGGCTGCCACGTGTGAAGCAGCCAGAGTCTATGCAAATGGCGGTTAAATTTTGATTTAGCTTTTCCTTAATAGTTTTAGCTACACACCTTCATCTAGATAGTATTTGATTAACATTTTTAATGTGTTAGGTAGTAAATTACAGTAACTGTACAGTAGTTGTGTACAGTACTATTTTACGTTAGGTTGGGTTTTATCGGGTTTGTGAACCAATTTCTGTTTCTGAGGAGAATATTTGCCATTGGGGAACCAAACCCCATTTTTCTCATTTGTTCTGTTATTCAATAAATGAAATTTCACTTAAAAGATTTTTTTTTTAACCTAACCCATTCACATATATCGAGGGATAACTGTATTGTAGATAGCAGTGGGCAGTATAAGCCTACTGTAGGCTAGTTAGTGTGTAGAGGTGTATGTACAGTATACAGTGTGTGTGTACAATCCCTCCTACATGGAGGGAGAGGAGCGTAATAGTAACAACTGCGACAATAGATGATACAGGACAAAGGCAGGCCATCCTGTATCATCATATCACCATTTGGTTTGCTGGTGAGTACAGTGTAATGTACACAGTAGTATATTTTGTTTATTAACAGTATATTGCACATGTACAGTGGTGTTTGCGTAAATAAATACGTACAGCTTTGTGCCTGTCTGTATGAGATTGTAGTTTAAACTCTTGGAAAACTTCCCCCAGCACCCAAAAACATTCTGGGAATGTGCAATAGTGTCTGTCCATGAAAACTTACCCCAGCACCCGGAATAATTCGGGGGATGAGAAATTTGTCTCAATATCCGGAAATCTAATTTCTGGCTAACGGGGATATCACTTGTATGCACACTATATAATAATAAGTGGGGTAAAAAAATGCAACGAATCAAGAATAGCAAACACTTGTACAATGCAGATCCCAGCACTATTTTTGGTCCATATGGTATTTGTTGCACTGTAAAACTTGCCACTACATTGTTATGCACCATGCAGGACCCATACTATACATTATCAAGGCAGATGGGAAAAGGTCAAATAAAAACCAATGATTTACATCAATGGTAAAAAGACACAAGGCGTCTTTGAGAACGTCTCAGAAGGGAGAAATTTTCAAGGAACCACCCCAGCATGTGAAGGTCACTAGGTTATGCTTTTGTGAGAGATCAAGCAGGAAATTCTGGATTCCTTATGCAGTGACAGGTCACTGTTTAAGTTCTGTGACTACAGTATAGCACTAGTGATTAATTTAGATATAAGGCTATTTAATGGAAATGATTGTTTTACAGGCACTTGTAAATATTGAACCCCATTGGTGATGAATTAAGAGAATGGTTTTAAATCTAAATATTGTATAGTGATATAAAGTACAGTATGTAGAGAAATACTGTAATGTGACTTTTATATGTACAGAACTGTCTGTGCTTTCAATATGCCAGAAACTAATTTTCCTAAATTAGTTAACTACTGTATATTTTCATGTTTGATTATAAATTACAAATTTCATATTAAACTGCAACTGAATACGTACTACAGTATTTCACATTTCATAAACCTTTTGTTCTAAATGCCATTGTAACTTGCAATGGAATGGTTCAGTGGTATGAATTTGTTATGATCAACTGGCTGTCTCAAGAGTGGTCTGATTACACCAGGTTTCACCACACGGTAATACAAATATAGAATAATATACTGTACAATACGACTCAGTGTTATTGTAATTATGAGAGGTGTGATAAAAGTAATAAGAAAGTGTTGTTGTTTACTAAGTGAGGAGATGATGGCGCCATCGTCTCGGCCCTAGACGATACTGAGGCAGTATCGGCCAGACCTTTTGAGTGAACACACACTAGCCACCACAGGAGTTACTTGGAACGATACCAGGAGTTAAGTGAAGCGATAAGCCCGCACACGTGAGTGAAAAAACAGTGATTATTTGTGTTGTGGTGAAATGTTTGGGATTAAGGCATAATATACAGAATATTTCTATTAACTGACGTATAATGTACAGCTCCTCCCCGACTTATGACCTACTCGACTTATGACCACCCGCACTTACGACCTGCCTCAGTCGTACCAAAATTTGGCCAAATTACGTATTTTCGAGTCCCAAAGTCAGTACACAGACAAAATTTTCGTTTGTAATTCACTTTAAAATGGCTGGCAAGCTTAAAAGTGAGTGTTTTGTGGTGCTGAGAAGAAAAAGAGACACCCATTTTAGATTTTCTATGTATTATTTAAGCATTTCCGACTTACGACCATTTCGACTTACGACCTGGATGTCGGTCCCTAACCCCGTCGTAAGTTGGGGAGGAGCTGTATACATATAATGGAATGTAATCAGTAGTTAATGACTGTCTCGTTCTTTACAGGTTTTGACCATATCTACCAATAAAGATTGAGTGCGTCAACGTTGTGGGTTTCTCTCACCCTTAATATGTGACATCATCTAATTGTCGAACCATTCGGCAGTTAAAAAGCACGTTGAACAATTTCTACATTGGAGCGAAACTGATAGCCGTCCTTGCTTTCCAAACCGTCTACACTGTTAATATTGACAACAATACAACCAACACTTTCTCACATACATCATACCCCTATGGTACAGTTCTACATAGCTCTAGCAAATCTAAAATACCTATTTAACCAATATGTTTAACTGTTGTTTTTGGATCAACAAATACAGTACTACAGGTATATAGAATACATAACTAAATGTAGTTCAATCTTGTACATCCTAATGTAAACAATTAAAAAATGCATAAACTCAGTGTACAAGTGGGATACATACCTTAAGTACAATGGTCTCATGAATTTACTGTTGCATGTTGGACATTCATAAAACCTCTTGCTATCAGTGGCACCACCAGGTCTGATGTCTTCCTCCTCATAGCCCCCCTGTGTCTGAGAAGTATGAGACGTATATCTCCCTTGTTTTTTCACAGTTCCATCTGAAAGATTGATTTGGACATGTTTCCTTACTTGTTCATTTTGACCCACTGGAATTGGGGCTACTTTTGTGAATTTGGTAGTCCCTTCAGGTATGATGACCTTGAAGATGCTGCCTTGCCCTAATCCATCAGATTCCTCTTGACATATAGGAATCTGACCCACTTGGTTGGCCCCAGCTCGAATTACAATGTGGTTCTTGTTCCCCACTGTTACTATTTGTGGCTGGGCTACACTAACTGGAGTACCTCCCACTTGAATAAGAAAGTGACCAGCATTGGCTTTAACAGGGGAATCCTGATTAGTTTGTACCACTATTTTTGTCGGGGTGTTAGTATTGGATAAATTAACAGGTATTCCTGAGATGTTATTTACTGCTGTTCCCTGTATCACATTTGAGGATGTAAGAGGCTGCTGAATACCCTGGACAGGATTGGTGGTGATCGTGCTGGTAGTAACAATGATGTTGTCAGGGCCGTGAGTAGTACTTGGAGATGAGTGGAATGTCTCACTCACCAAGTTTCGCAACAGCATCTCACTTTCTTGGTTTGTTGCCAATGTATTTTCATCTGCAATAACACCACCCATTTCATGGTCAACAGCAGCATTTTCTACTACCTCATCATGTACAAGTCCTAGTATCTGTTGGTTATGGCCATACTCGGTATCTTGTAGATCTTCTTCTTTAACAATTACAGGACCATCTGCAACAGTATCATGACAGGGAGAGTCTTGCAACACTGAGGCCCCAAATTCTGACTCCTCCAACATAACTTGGGATCCTTCCATGACTGTTGGAGAATCTTCCATCACTACCTGTGAACCTTTTATAACGACTTGTGAACCCTCCATATCTACAGCCTGTGAAGCATCCATGATCATTTGTGAATCATCCTCCATGACTCCTTTTGTGGCAGGCATAACCACTTGTCCATCCAACAAGACTGGTGATTCAATTTCTTCCTCCACACTTTCTGTTAGATCTCCTGACACAATCGACGAGGCAGTACCAACCTGCAAAATATGACAAAATTGTTGATTCCACAGAATTAGACTAGCATACATACAGCTCCCACCATTGTAAAAAAAAATAAAAAAAATAAAAATAAATAAATAAAAAATAAATAAATAAACATATACAGTATACAGGTAGTACTCCTCGACTTACGACCTACTGTACGATCACCTGGACATACGACCGCCGCAGTCGTACCAAAAATTTTTCAAATTACGTACATATTTTCTTGGACCAAAATGTTTCCGTCCCGTACCAGAGCGTCGCGTGGGCTGGGTCGCCTCGTGGTGTACAGCATCCACGCCGTAGTGCGCTCAGTTGGTGTTTGGCTATCGTTGTTGTCGGTAGTGATCGCGCTGTGTACTGACAATATTTTCGTTTCTAATTCCCTTTAAAATGACTGGCAAGCGTAAAAGTGAGAGTTCTGGTGGTGCTCAGAAGAAAAAGAGACACTCAATTACTTTTGAGATGAAAATGAAAATAATAATGCAATATGAGAATGAAAAAACGGTAGCAACCATTTCACGTGACCTTGGCTTCTCCCACTCGACGATATCAAAAATTTGAAGGACAAGGAACGAATTCGTGAGGTAGTGAAAGGATCAGCAACTATAAAGGGAACAATAATAATGAAAAAAGACAAGGTCCTCTTCATGAGATGGAAAAATTACTTGTGGTGTGGATGGAAGATCAGATACAAAAGCATGTACCCTTAAGCCTTCTAACCATACAGGCTAAGGCAAGAAGCCTTTTCAAAAGCCTGAAAGCGAAGGCAGGAGATGAGTGCAACCAAAACTTCACAGCAAGTCATGGGTGGTTCCAAAGGTTTAAGAAACATTACAGTTTGCACAGTGTAAAGGTGAGTGGAGAGGCAGCAAGTGCTGATGTGGGTGCTGTCGAAGCTTTTAAGGAGGAGCTAGATCGTGTCATCGTGGAGGGAAATTATTTGCCTGAGCAAATATTTAATGTGGATGAAACTGGCTCATTCTGGAAGTGCATGCCAGAACGGACATACATCCACAAAGAGGAGAAAACCATGCCGGGATTCAAGGCATTCAAGGACCGAATCACACTTCTGTTGAGGGGAATGTAGCTGGTTTTCAAGATTAAGCCCTTCATGATATATCAGTTAGAGAACCCAAGGGCTTTTAAACATGTCAGCAAGCACACACTGCCAGTGTTTCATCGCAGTAATAAGAAAGCATGGATGACCCTAGTACTGTTTGAGGATTGGTTTCCGAGTTGTTTCATTCCACGAGCCAAGGAGTATTGTCTGCAACAAGGGATTGCGTTCAAGAATTTATTAATTTTGGTTAATGCTCCGGGACACCCACCACACTTGGACGACCTGCACCCTGATGTTAAGGTAGTCTACATTCCACCTAACACCACCTCTATCATCCAACCCATGGATCAAGGTGCTATTGTTGCTTTTAAAGCAACGACCTTCGCTCAGGCTGTTGCTACTTAAGGTGAGAAAACGCTCAAGAGAGTTTTGGAAGGACTAAAACATTTTGAAATGTATAAAGAACATTGCTGCAGCATGGGATGATGTTACAGGTTAGTGCATGAATGGAATTTGGAAGAAAGTCCTGAAAAGATATGTGAACAGTTTCAAAGGATTTAATGAAGATGAAGCAATTTCTGAGATTAGTAACAAGATAGTGGAGTTGGGTAAACAGCTGGAGTTAGAAATTGATAATGAAGATGTTGAGCAGTTGGTTGAAAGTGTAGCAGAAGACTAAGTAACGAGGATCTTATTGACCTGGATGCACAGAAAATTGCAGAGGAAGAAGAGAGACAAAATGTAGAAGAAGAACCTGCACCTGCCAAAAGGTTTTCAGTGAAACAAATGGCAGAGGCATTTGCTACTATTAATAAGGGGATGCAAATGTTTGATGAAATGGATCAAAATGTTGAGCGTTTTGCAAAAGTTGACAGACTAATCCAAGATGCACTTGCTTGCTACAGGGAGCTTTACAATGAAAAAAAAAGGGCAAACTGTGCAGTCTAAATTGGACATATATTTTAAGAAGTCCCCCACTGCTGTCTCCTCATGCCCCACCAGTGCTGCCTCTTCACTCCCTAAAGATGATCCAATACCTTCAACAAGCAAGTATGTTAGCTTGTCTGAAGAAAGCAAAATTGATGACCCACCCAGCCCTGTCTCCTCCTCTGCTACATCCAATTAATGTAGTCTCCATGTTTAATTAAAAAATTATTGGGGCCCCGTGTGTATTCAGCCAACTACATTAAAGGTAAGTGCACAGTAACACTTGATTCATTTTTCATTATTGATTACTTTTACTGTACTGTATTTCATTTTAGATTTTCTATGTATTATTTTTTGCATTTTCGACTTACGACCAATTCAACTTACAACCTGGATTTGGGTACCTAACCCCATCATAAGTCGAGGAGCTGCTTTCATATATATATATATATATATATATATATATATATATATATATATATATATATATATATATATATATATATATATATATATATATATATATATATATATATATATATATATATATATATATATATATATATATATATATATATATATATATATATATATATATATATATATATATATATATATATATATATATATATATATATATATATAGTCAACCTCACTTTACGCGGTTAATTCAACCCACAGGGTACCGCGGAAAGTGAGAAACGCGTAAAGTGAACAACATAACATATGGGATTAATTGAAATAGAGACCAGGCCGACCCCCAAACTCCACTTTTTGACGACACACAACTATGTTGTAGTAAAAATATTATCTTAACTTTATGATGGTATGCACACACAAGTAATAATTAAGAGAAATATCAATAATATTAGGTTTTTTAACACTTACATTAGCAGAAAAGATGACTGGGCACACGGGGATGGGCGGTTGGTTCCGAGGCAGAGGGCAGATTATTGGCCCTCACCTGTATCACTTGTATCAATTGTATCACTATCCACCACAGAGGCTTGCAGGGCCTCTTTGTCAAACCCCTCAAAGTCCATATAAGTCCATATCCTCACTATAATTATCACTATCACTGACTTGGGCTGGCTATGGTGGGTGGCAGGTGAAGAACTCAGTAATGTTTTGATGACTGGGCGACCTTGTGCGCACCATGCTCGCACCACTTACACAACATGGCAGATGGCGGGAGAGGGCGGGAGAGATGGCGGGAGGTTTGGATCCAAAAATGGCGCGGCTCGCCAGCCACTCTCCGCGTAAAGGGGTACACGCACCGCGGAATACGAGCATTCCTGTTTCGGCAGGGTACCGCGTAAACGTGGAAACGTTACAGTACATTAATATATTATACTGCATACATGTATTTCTTAGTAATATTTGCATATCATTTTTGTAATAAAATGGGTATGTAACAATAAAAACATGTATAAAGTTTCTTCATGTCTTGTGGCTCTCGAACATATGAAGATTATCATATGCGGCTCTTGGGTTAAGCAAGTCTGGCCACCCCTGCTACATTACCTTCCAATAATTTACAGAATATTTGTTCATACAATTTTACCTCAAGTTGAGTGTAAAAAATTATTTTACTTGGAGTTACATTATAAATAAGTTTTCTTCTAATGCCAAACTAATGCTTTCTAAGAACTTCTGATAACATTTCATATACTGTTGGCTAATTTTTACAGCAGAGCTAAAATGAGGGATCCACAAATAATTTATTTTAAATTTTCATATTTTCCCACTACAGGTACTGTCAGATGTTAATTTTAACCCCTTGTTTAATCAGTGGGTCTCTCTCTGTGCTGAATAAATTCGTCTAGTGTTAGCCAAATAAAACAATAAAAGTGGCACTCCGTAATGAAGGGATTAACACCAAGAATGTCCAAAACCAGGTGGAAGAATTCCAACATCCTCAACAGTACTAACCACACAAAATGTGAGTACAGTAGAACGTCGATATAACACGAGATACGTTCCAAGAGAGGTCGCTTTAAACCGATAAATTCGCACTATATCGAAGTGTTGTTTCAATGGAATAATTTAGTTTGGTACTTGAGAGAAACACAAAATACTAAAAAGACTGAGTGTGCCCAGATGCACCTCAGTCCATCTCCTAGAATAAACTAAACATTCCTTTTTGTAGTATTATGTTAAAACAAACACTCATAAATCAACACAGCTAAAATTATGGGACGTGAAATGGTCTGTTTACTAGCGATCAGTTCATGGGAAGATGGGGGGGGGGGGAGGTGATATGCTTGACAGTTGATGCCATGTTCTAATTAATTTTATTACAAAGGGCTAAATTTATTATCTCGTTGCGCAAAATAAATGACGTTTATATTCAAATTGTTCACTGTCTTGCAAGGATTCTAGTAATGCAGATTATATTCTCCTAACTTTAGTCTGTGATATTATATAAGATAAAAACTGTAAGCCTATGTGTAAGTCTGGGGATGGTTTACTAATTCCTTTAAAGTAAATTTGATTATATGCAGAAAATAATTAAAATAATGGTATTAAAATTAAGTGTAAAAGCAGTGGCCACAACCCACCAGCCATCACAGGTGAAACGTAGTGAGGTACTTGAGTATACAGTATTACCTAACCTGAACTAGCTGGTTAATTCAAAGTTAACCAGGCTGGTACATTTATATTATATTGGGCTTTAGTAACGAAACCCAATTGTAACAAGGGCCATTACAAACCCTTGGTAAAAAGAAAATATTAATAAAATACAGGTAATAATAAAAAAGTAGAATAAATAAATAAATTAAATTTACTTTTTGGGAAAATTTTGATTCAAAGCAATTTTTACTTTAAATTAAGTACTGAAGATACAAATGAAGATAAACTATCATACTTTTAACTTAGCCACAATTTTAACAAAATCTGTTAAGTACAAAGTAACTTTCCCAAACATACGGGAAAATGCATGTTCTTGTTGTACAGGCAGTTCTGCTATAACGCGATAATTGTGTTCTTGTAAAATATCGTGTT